CTGTTCAAGTTCAAATGAGCATTTAGAGTGCGTTCGTTGGTGGAGATGTGAATTGAGTATGAAAAACGCTACACAACACTGTGTTTTACGGTGTTTTCTGACCAAGGTAGTGTTAGGACTAGTGAAAGACACAAGTTTGGGACCTTTGGATTCGTTCCTTATGCATTCCACTTAGTATGTTTTATCAAATTCAACCTTATTTCTGATTGAAATTCAATGGAGCTTAAGAAGGACATACTCCAGCCAAAATTGCGATTTAGATTCGATCTTAAGTATTGACTGTTTATGTCAAATTAAATGGTACAAACTATTTTCTGTCCAATAGACCATTGTACATTGAAATTCAATCACTTTCAGAACTAGCTAGTCCTAGTTTGGTCCTAGTCCTAGTTGGGAGATCCTTGGTTATAGGCCAAGTATGGTCCCAGCTTACTGAAATACATAGAACGTATAAAGGACATTACAAAGGAAGTTCGTTATGAATTGTAGTTAATATATGAGTCAAGTTCTATGCAACTTCTAGCTGAACAATTGAATTTGAAATAAGGAGAATATCCAGTCAGAATTTACATGTTAGGACCAAATAATAAACAGGACTTTTTTCCACCAGAATGTAATACTTGACATCCCACTACTATAAGAAGTAGAATTAAATGGTCTAGTCCTAGTTTGGTCCTAGATGAGAGATCCTTGGTTCTAGTGTTAGGTTGCTCCCTAGTTTACTGCAACAATTATAGAATATACAGGACATTGCAGAGGAAGTTATACTTGAAGCTCATTTTTTGTAAGAATCTGAGGTGGGTCGTCTAGTCCTAGTTTGGTCCTAGTCCCAGTTCAGAGATCCTGGGTTCTAGTCTCATTTGGTCCTGGTCCTAGTTGAGAGATCGTTCCTCCCAGTCCTAGATGGGCAATTCATGCACTGGAGAGGCAGCCAAAAGGTAGGTCCCTGGGGGGGGGGGTAGCATATATATATATATATGGTACAGCGTTGCCCCCCCCTCCCCCCCCAATGGTCATGGGTCAGGCAAGTACCCCCCCCCCCCTGTGGTTGTGGTCCTGTGGTTGGGTTGTGGTGGTTTAGGGTTGGTTTAGAATTGGTTTAGGGAATATTTAGGGTGTATTTAGGGTTAGTTTAGGGTTGGTTCAGGGTTGATTTAGGTTGATTTATGTTGATTTAGGGTTGGTTTAGGGTTGGTTTAGGTTCAGAGGTGTACGGTCGGTTTAGGGTTTGGTTTAGGGTGTATTTGGGGTTGGTTTAGGGTTAGTTTAGGGTTGGTTTATGGTTGGTTGCGGGTTGGCTTGTCCTGGGGGTGGGGGTGTGTCGGGTGCGAGGGGTGGGAGTGGGACCGTAGGTGCCAGGATCCGGGGGCTCGGGGTCTCGGGCCGGGGGGGGGGTCCTGGGGGACCATACCATATGGGTGGGGGGGGGGAGGGGTAGCAACACGGAACACGGGACCATATATATATATATATGCTACCCCCCCCCCAAAAAAAAAAAAAAATGGCATGCCTCATTGATTGCCGGACGCGCATGCAGAAGGGGGTCTTTTTGAACCAGCGCCCCAAGAAACATCAAACTCACTGGGAAGGCTTTTTGATGAACTTAGTCATCAGCCATTCGCACAGTGTCCCAGATGCAACCCACAAATCATGGTTCCTATACCAGTATTGGCACTGCGCAGAGCGGAGCTTTGCTCGCAACAAAGAAGACCCTACCGTAGCATTCTGGTTGATGGTCAACCTCTCCTTCAAGTACTTCCAGGCTCGATCAACCACCTGTGTCCCAGACTTCACGGTCATCATCTTCTTCCTGATCGGGTTCTTATGCTTCACGAGCTCACGTAGGTCGGGGCCTTCCACCTCCATCGGCCCTTGACTGTGACCCGCTTCTTCCCATGGACCACCTTGTTGTGGAGCCTCCCAGGCACCTTGGTCTTGTAGCTCTTGGCCGAGTCAGTGTGCAGGACACCTTCTTGTCCTGCAGCCACTTCTTTGCCAAAGGAGTCCACTCCACCTTTCTGATGACGCCAGGCCCGGGAGCTCTCTTGGCCAACTCCTTGGCCAACTTGGGGGACAGCCTGCTCAAGACAAGTGTCTCCGGGTGGCCTCGTTGGACTATGACACACCACTGCTCCCAAACGACCGGGTTTGTGGGGTCAGGGGCTGTGTTCCCAAGGTCCATGCGATCGAAGGTCGTCTCGTCCGCCTCGACATCCGCCCACTTCTGGCCCTTGCCAAGAACGATGTTCTTCTCCTTTGCCTCCACCAAGGTCTTGCGAGCATGACACAGCCTCTTGTCAAGGTCCTCGATCATTTTGTGGTTGACATGAGCAAGACGATGGACCACAGGGTTGGAAATGTTGTTGAGCTTCAACAGGAGGAGGGCTGCCTGTGTCTGCAAGGACTGTGCAGCAGCGCCACGGGATGTAGACACGGCAGTTGCAATGGGAGCACCGGTGCTTTGGCATGCCTGTGCCAGCATCGACCTTCAGCTCAGACAAGGTGCCCTTCTCACAGCGCGGGCGCACCTTGCCTTCCCACTTTGGGAGGTAGCTGTAAGCAGCTGAGTCAAAGACCTCTTCCATTTGAAGCGGTCCCTGCGCTAGGTCCAGCTGCCTGTGAAGTTGTCCTGGTGTACTTCACAGCATCCCACGTCTTGTTCTTCTTCATAGCAGGCCTCTTGAGCAGTCTTGAGCAGTGCGCGGCCTCAGCCTTCTTCGGATCAGGAAAGGGTTGAACCTAGCCACCAACGGGAAGTAGGAGAGAGCGAGGTAAGCAGTATGCGTAGAAGCTGCGCACTAGTTTGTGCGCGCGTGCCATTCATTGGAGGTGGCCACTGTCTCATACAAACTGTGCGACCCTCGTCTGCCCGGGCTTGCTCGATCTCTCTTAACTTTGACCTTTGTCTCCAGCTGCTCGAGGCAGGACTTGTTTTCCTCACGCCCACGAAAGAGCTGCTGCTTCTGTTGCTTCTGCTTGAAGACAAGCTCAAGCCAGGCTTGCTCTTTGCGCACCTCCTCCTCAAAATTCTCGGGCTTTGTGTTGCAGTTGTCCTTGTACTTGCCATACAGCATCTTTCCTTTCTGTGTGAGAAAGTCCGGGGTTTTTACAAAGGGGCGTGCCACCTTGTCCTCGTTAACTCCAGAAGGGCGGTAGTACACGAACTTCTTGGTGTTGAGGATGAAGCATGCCCCGCTTGAAGATTGCATCCACATCTGCCCCAGATGCGTCTCCCTTAATGCTAGGGTAGTCCTCGCCCTCGTTCACGTTCTTGTCATAGGTGTTTGCTGCGAGGGCACCGGGCTGGTTCGGAACCATTTGACTGCGCTCCACCTTGCCCAGGACATAGACTCACACAAGCCTACCTCCAGCAAAGACTTCAGCGCTTTGATGCTGAGCTCTGATGAGGTCGGGTCATCCAGAAAGTCGCCAATGGTCACAAGCCCGCACAAGAAGTCCAACTCAGGTTGCAAGGCCGATGATGACATTCAAAGAGCTGCTTGTTTTGACACTCCTTCCCAAAGGGATTTTGCCTGCGCCGCTCTCCCCCAACAGAACCAAGGAAGACCTGTCAAAATCCCACACAGCCTCAAGAGTCTCGAGCACCCAGGGCTGGCAGAAGGTAGGCAGGGGCCAGTCGAATTCTTTTCTGGCAAGGGCACCATCGGAAGCAAGCAGTTCAGCTTCAGCACCCACTGGTGATCGGCCCGCAGCCTACTGTGCACCAGGTGGCCCCACCCCAGCACAGTCACCGCAAGGCAAGCTCCCGCCGCAAGGCACGCTCGCCAGACCGCCGCAAGGCACGCTCACCAGACCGCCGCAAGGCACGGTCACCAGACCGCCGCAAGGCACGCTCACCAGACCGCCGTGAGGCAAAGGCACCAGACCGCCGTGAGCCAAAGTCACCAGACCGCCGCGAGGCAAAGTCACCAGACCGCTGCGAGGCAAAGTCACCAGACCGCCGCGAGGCACCAGACCGCCGTGAGGCAAAGTCACCAGACGCCAAAGTCACCAGACCACCGCAAGCCAAAGTCACCAAAGTGCGAAGAGCGCAATTTGTCCACCAGTTCTGGCTTCATGGCAGCCTGCTTGCGCGGGGCGGCGGCTTGCATTGTTAGCTGGAAGCATCTGAATTGCCTCCTCCCCATGCTCTCCAGGCAGTACGCGCTGCTGCCTCTTACGCAGCGGCCTGTGGACCTGGCCAAGGAAGACCGTCTCAAGGAAGTTGGCTTTGCTTTTGGGGGAAGACAAAGTGCTTGAGGACAGTGCGTCTTCCCGGACGACCATCTGGAGCTTCGTGTCGCGAGCGCCTCCGTTTTGACACCAAGGGCCTGGGAGAAGCCGAAGATCACATTGAGTTATGGCCTGCTTGTAGGACGTGGACAGGTCATCAAAGTTGAAGTCAAGAGGGTGCCTTGTGACAAGCTCCAGCCAGCGCACGCCTGGGTTGGCCTCCACGCCGCCTAAATTGACGTGGTTGAAGATGCCAACTGGCAATGAGGAGGACACAAAGGGTGATGGCATGCTTCTGCAGACGTAAGCATCACATGCGTTCTTGATGTCATCAAAGGTCATATCCTCCGGCTCCTTGGCCCTGCTAGGACAGGAGCAGAACAAGGGGCAGAAGAGGAGCGAAGAAGCACTGGAGCCAGACAGCTTCAACTGTGGGCTCGGTTCTGCTCAGATGCCCAGGAGAGCTGAAAAAATGAAAAAATGGGAAAACTAGAAAAACTGAAAAACCAAGGATTCTGAGGGACATGAGGGCTGCACCCTCCCCGCCATGTCCCCCCCAAATCCGTGGTTCTTTATGTTTTTCATTCTTCAGGTTTTTCAGTTTTTTCATTTTTTCAGTTTCTTCAGTTTCTTCAGTTTTTAATTTTTGTTCAGTTTCTTTTAGTTTTTTGAATAGATGCCCTTATGCCAGCATAGTGCTTGGTTGCAGTATGGGCCGGTTTTAGCAGATGAGAGGCTTTGACAGATGCAGAAAGAGGGCCTGAACAATGAGTGTTCTGGCAGATGCAGGGTTTTGTCAGGAAGCACCGCAAATACCAGTATTTTCTGACAAAACCTGTTTTTTTTGGGGGGGTGGGGTACCATATATATATATATATATAGAGATAGTTTTTTCCAGGGGACGTAAGCAGATGGAGGATCACAATGGGGGGGGCCATAAAATGGTAGTTGTCCTTTTTTGGGTTCCCTTGAAAACCCACGGCGAAAAGGGTTCCCTCAAGACATTACACACACAAAAAGGGATGGTCCGAAAATTGTCAGATTTTGGTTGCCAGTAACTGGAAGCCCGAGATGCGCCATCGAATCTCCAAGCCTTTCGTGTGAAGCCTGGGATTGTCACAGGGGTGGACAACCACGGGCGCTCGTTCAACCAGCTCGTTCAAGGAATTTGGCGAGTGAAGTATCAGCATGCCAACTTCGAGAATTTGGGTAGGACCCTCAAACTACCTGAGCCATGTGGGTGGACGAAATCCTTCACCAAAAAACCCTGGAAGGATGATTCCCCCGTAAATGCCAACAAATAATGTTTTGCCATGGATTCAAAGTGGATTCTGTCTTCCCTTTTCAAGGCTTTAAAGGAGGTAAAAACTCACCCAAAGACCTTTCCTGCCCCAAGACTCCTCTTTTGCTTCAGCTTGGCTATCACTACTGTTTTTTTCCCCCAGGGGACTTAAGCAAATGGAGGTTTGGCTCTTGGTGACTTGTAGTTCATCACTCGGGAAATGCGATTCTCGTGCTCTGTCGGTAGGACCCTTGAACGGCAAGCCAAGGGAACGCCATGCACACGCTTCTACTGTTTGCGGGTCATCTTTAAAGAGTGACCACAGCCATGTGTTCCAACACAATAGCTTCAACTGGATGCTCAATCACACTACTGCTTGTCCTTTGGCGATCCGAGATCCTGTTTCGGGGTCCCTTATACAACTGGCACGCGACCACCTGCGCTGGCATTCTCCTGTTGGTTTGTAGGGAAATGATCATGACAGACTCATGTTGCTTTGCGTGGCGCAACTGATAGCCGTGGTAGTTCTACATGTAGCCTCCAACTACCCATAAGAAGGGAGCCTCCCACTTCTTTGGGGAGCTGTTTTGAGGCTCTCAGAAGGTTGCTCCCCCTTTTGGTGGTGTAAGATAAGCAACGGCACACAAGTCTCACTCATGTGGTGTTTGTTCCCTTGAGAAGCCGTCATTGGGGTCACCTGAAGTTTAACCAACTACCCAACTGATCCAGGGCCAACTCGCAAGAGCCATAGGAGGGATATGTCCCCAAATTGTCACTAGCATAGGTGTCCGTTTTGGTTAGTTTGGGGGACATAGCGGGCCCTGGTAAACCTACTGTCTGAAGCATCTACCATCTATTTCCCAAAAGGTCACCTATGGTCACTGGAAAATCACTAGCCTGCAAGGCTCCCCTCGCTTTGCTTCCATTTGTTCGAGAATATTTTGTTTTTCCTTGTTGGTTTTAAAGGGAATCTATCACTACTGGAAGTATATTTTTGTTCACTAAGGGGAATCTATCGCTACTGGAAGCATCTTCTTATCATTATTTTCCCCCTTTTGCAGCGCAAACAAGAGAAAACAACAAACACGCCCATGGGACGTGTTCCCTCACGCTTCGCCCAGCTCAGGATAGAGTTCTCCGAGGAGAAGCCGGAGGATGGGGTTCAGCATTTGTCGGTGCTGCGATCCCGGGACATGGACGGCAAGCGGATCTACCTGGACGTCTCCGCGGCTCAGCTTTTGAGGAGGATGTCTGGTTTTCCCCCATTTACTTGGTGCCTCCCATCCGGTTCCTTAGCCTTGTAGATTGTTTTTTTTCTTTTCGGTTTAGTGGTAGTTTCCATTTAACCTACTAATAGTGAAAAACTTTTAGCGGGGGATCTGAGGGCAGCCCAGATGAATATGTTTTTGCTACTTTCCCCTGTTGGTTTTACAAGGAATCCATCACTACTAGAAATATTCGTATTTTTGCCAGGGGGCTTGAGCAAATGGCAGTTTGGTTCCCATTTGGACTTGCTGGTGCGATAGGTAGGGAATGAGAAATGGAATGACGCCCTATATAAGCCATCCATCTGGTGGTTTCCTTTAAGGGGATTTAGGGGTGCATTCCCTCATTCACTGAGCACTAGCAAGTAGAGGATGCGGAAGACAATTCAAACAACACCATCTAAACTCATGGATTTGCCTGAGACTCGTACGTGTTTTTGGGGTTGCGAGGGGAGTTGATACCTCAACTGGAGCCTCAACTTGCTGAGAGAATCACCCACGACATGATAGATCACGTGACACTCGGATCTTGCGGCAAAACGTGAAATGAGACACAATCAAAACCCGGGTAGATGAAGGTTAGTAAGGGACAATCCCAGCCACAAATAGCTGCCGCCGCCTTCTCAATTCTTTACATGGGTCTGGGTAGACCATCTTAGTACCGGGTTTTGATTGTGACTCAAATGTGCGAACGGCTGAGGGTCGTAGGCCGAGAACACGCTCAGGTTCACTATCGCTTGTCCAAGGACAAGGCGGGGCGTGAGACAGGGCTCTTACTGTGGATGGTTGCGAAATCCTGCACCACTTAAGCCCTGGAATGATGATGCCCCTTGTAAACACCAACAAAAATGGTTTCAACCATGGTTCCAAAGTGGCGCGAAATGGATTTCGCAACCATCCACAGTATGTCCCTCTGGTTGTAGGTGGCCCGCAAGCCACACTTTGGGAAGGCCAACGGGAAGTTCTGTTTGGAGTGGGTTTGAAACTTCCGCTGACCCCTGATGTACACAATTTGCTGCAAGCACCCGTCAGGTGCTTGCACCATTCATAGGGTTCCATCCCAGCTGGTGCCTCGCGTGGATTTCGTCCACTGTGTCTACTCAAAGGGGCAGGGTACTTTTGGGTGCTCATGGCCAGAGCCATGAGTGCAGTCTCCTTCGGCTGCCCTTTTGGAGTCCCATCTAGCTTCCATTTGGTGAAGTATGTGTTTTCCCCTGTTTGTTTCAAAGTGAAACTATCACTACTGGAAATATGTGTTTAAACAAATTGGACACAAACGCAAATGGAGGCAAGTCTGCGGAGTATTTGGAGGAGCCGAAGCTACGAGTCTTGCCGCTCCGATCGCACAGGTGGCCAGCATCTACCGAGAGATGCTTGGCGCAAAGAGACGCAGCAAGAGCGGCCAAAAACCGACGGCCTTTCTGGTACTGGGTGTCTTCTGTTTTCAGGGGGACAACACTGGGGCCCGAAGTCATGCTGATCTGAAATTCAAGCCTAAAGTGGATGCATTTTTGTTCTTGAGATACGTTTGGTCGACTCTTCCTGGGATTTTGGAATCCCAAAGGGGGCCATTGCCATTGACTTCTGGGCCGGGGCTTGGCGTCGGATCTCTGGGTCAAGGTGGATCAACCGTTTTGTTCGAAATGGGTTGCCTACACCGACCCTCTGCGAACTCCCCCCCCCCACTCGTCAAGGTGGATCAACCCCTTTCTTGCCTTTAGCACTGGATCCGCAACTCCAAGCCAAGAGGGCAATATCCCAGTTAGACACTATGCCCTCTTGCGAATGAAGTAGACAGCGGCTTTTTCAATTGGACGGTAGTCTTCCATGACCCTCCTATCCACTTCCGTGATTGCGGAAATGTCCTTTGCCCTTGAAGGGCAGTTCCCTTCGGGGGAATGGAATTCCTGGGTCGCAGATTTGGTCGTACGGCCCGTTCTGGAGCCCGTTTTCCATCAAATGCAAGGCCGAGCGCCCGAGCGATCGTTTTTCGGCAGGCCTCCTTCCCTCCTTCGAACGCCGAGCTCCAACTTTTTGTTTAGAGGATTGCCCCAAAAAGCAAAGGATGATCAAGCTCCAAAACAAGGTAATGACGTGGACACTGAACAACTCGAAAACCGGGCGCTGAGAACAGTTGACTTTGGACATGGTTCTTCTCCATGTGATTTGGGTGGCTCAAAAGACAGCTAGGGCAGACGGCAGGTTTTGGTTCATGCTTGCCACTTAATGTTGATCCAGGATCAATAAACCCGTCCCACTATTGGGGGGGTGTTCCCTCCAAAAGTGATGAATCCCCACTAAAGGGGGGCACCCCCCAATCAAAATCAAGCAGGGGTCCGGGGTTAACATCACCAGGGCAAGCCATTCTGGTACCGATTCTTTTAGCCACATCCATTTAGAGGGTCCCTGAACTGGGCACTTTGTAGAGCCTCGGGCTTCGGCTATGAGCTTGAATGGGGAACGTCCTGAACTTGTCAGAAGTGTAGGTGGATATGAATCGCCCCTGAGTCATGTCCAGCAAAGGGTCCCTAACTCAAAAAGAAGTATGCCTATAGTTAGACCTATGTAACTATATATATATACAATATATATATATATACATGTCAAATGTATATATGACTATATATATATACAACGTTCTTGGAGCCAACAGTTGTGTCCGAGAATTTGCACAACAGGACACCGGAATGGACAACTCGGGACAACTGGTGTTTCCCCCATTAGCGGCAGACTTGCACCAAGTATGCTCACCTTCTACGAAGACATCTACATCTCCGAGCTTCGGGATTCCCTGTCGAAGGCCAGATTTGCCGAATCGGGGGGTTCGAATCGGGGGATGCCCGCGCCAAACCCGACCTCAGAAAAGGACTTTGCATATGAGATTAGGTCCCCCAGGAGTGCCCTTTTGAACCTGTTCTTTGCCGAAGGGTTCTACTAAAATAGACTACATAAAAAGGGGTACTTTTATTCGAACCTCTCAAATCTGGAGGACCTAGTAGACCGAATCAGGGAAGATGGCTGGTTGCCTGTTGTGGCTTGCCTGGGATCCACAGGGATCTGGCAGGATTGATTGCGTCTTCCAGCGGAGGGATAGCCCGCAGGAAGGCGTGGTCGTGGTTCACAATAATATTGCGACCAATGTATCCCAACCCCGTCTTGTTTTGCAGGGTACCAAGAGCAAGTGGTGTTGTTCTGCGCCCACATGTCCCAAGGGTCAAATCACAAATCCTGCCCAGAAAGCCGACTTTGGGTTTGGGTTCCAGCGGTAGGAAGCACCAAGGCAGTATCTTCATTATGTACCCCATTATTCCCTGGTGGTAGTGGTTTGGGCTGCCGGCCCTCCTTTGCTTTTTACTTCACCCTACGAACATGGGGTGATGCGGATGGGGGATGACTCACTAGAAGGACGGAATTGGGGTGGCGCGCCCTCCGCTTCCAAAAGTTTACCTTGTGCCCCCAAAGGAGAAACAAAAACCGTTGAATGTTGCATGTCCTTTGTGTTTTTGCTCCTCAACCTTCATTCGGAGTCTAGGTTTCACAAGGTTCACCGTTGATTTCCACGGCGTTGGTTGGCTTTCCACAATTCTGTCATTTTCGTGGCCCCAAAAGCTTAAGCTCTGATTTCCATGTTGGCAGGGGAGTTTGTCCTTCGTGTTTGCCAGGTCTGCCCTGGTGCTTCACTCTTCTTTTTCTTTCAATTCCGGGTGTTTTTCCCCCAGCCTTTCTTCTCCAAAGCTTTGAGACATGTCCAAATGTTTCCCTAGGCCAGTCGTTGTGTTGTTGTTGTTGTTGTTGTTGTTGTTGTTGTTGTTGTTGTTGTTGTTGTTGTTGTTGTTGTTGTTGTTGTTGTTGTTGTTGTTGTTGTTGTTGTTGTTGTTGTTGTTGTTGTTGTTGTTGTTTGTTGTTGTTGTTGTTGTTGTTGTTGTTGTTGTTGTTGTTGTTGTTGTTGTTGTTGTTGTTGTTGTTGTTGTTGTTGTTGTTGTTGTTGTTGTTGTTGTTGTTGTTGTTGTTGTTGTTGTTGTTGTTGTTGTTGTTGTTGTTGTTGTTGTTGTTGTTGTTTTCAGTGTCTTTCAGAATTTCAGCATATTTCCAACCGGGGTTTCCTTAGGCCTGCAACCTCTTCGCGATTGCCAATGCCTGGGAGAACTATACCCAGGTGGTAGACATCATGCAGAGCGCCTGCGCCTTGCCCTTCGATTGGCCCTTCCCTTGTCGCTGGCTGAAAAAAGAGGGGCATGTCTTGGTGGCTCAACCGGCCATCTGAAAAACAGATCTTGGTGGCTCAGCCGGCCATCCGGTTCCTCAGCTTTTTAGATCTGTTTTGTTGGTTTGGTGGCTGGATGTCCATTTAACAAACTAAAGTTGAAGCTTTTAGCAGGTGATCCATTTGCTGAAAAACATATGGGCGCCGGCAGGGTGGTGGGATCACTGGGGGTTTATGCTCACTGCTGTGATACAAGCTCCCCCTTTGTATGCGGGGGTTATTCGGGAAGCCCTTTCTGTTGTATCACGGAAGTGGTCATTTCCCACAGCCCTGTATGGGGGTATCTTTTTGTGGAGTGGGTACCCCTTTTTTGCAGGTTTTCAGGGGACACCACACGGAAACCCCATACTGGGGGGCCCCCTGAAAAAGGACACACCCATAACCCACAGATTTCTTGCTGTTCCCTGTGAAAGGAAATCTATCATTGGATGTTATTTTGGTATTTTCCCAGTTGTTATTTTGACCGTTTGACGCAAGTCATGCGGCCTGAGAGGTTCTAAAGACATGTCGAGGGGTTATGGGGGTGTTCCTTTGACCCACTCAGAGTGCAATGTTGATTTCACATTGGGGCCCCAGGTTTTTCCCAACTGAACAGGAGCAAGGGTGGAAACCTTCTGGGTACATAGCCAACAAATTTGTTGTGAGATGTTTCTACAACAAGAAGGAGAAGAGTTTCATTTTTTGGCGCTCCAATTTGTTTGACCCAGATTCGACACCAGAGACCCATATTTTAAGTGACCTCGATAGCAATGAATGGGCTTTGCTTGAAGCAGGGGATGCTATAGGTATTAGTTGTTAACCGTGGGAACCACCCAACTAAGCCTTCCATGCGGTGAAACCGTTGCAATTTGCAAGGTTAGTTCCCTGCAATATTGTGTTGGCATCAACGATACTGTCCGCTTACAGCTTGAAATAAGCTCCCGAATGATTTCCCTTTTGGGGGGCTTAGTCATCCCCTCTTTAGAAGGAGATACTGTTGGACGAAATCCATTTCGCGCCGCCATTCCGAAACCCAAAGGTTTTCATTCGATTCCCCTACAAATACCCAAGAACACTTCCGTATGGAAACCCAACAGAATGAGTCGATTCCCCTATGAATACCAACACACCTTCTGGGTTTCGGAATGATTCGATTCCCCTACTTCCATTTGCTTAAGAACATTTTATGTTTTCCCTTTTTGGCTTTAAAGGGAATCTATCACTATTGGACATTCTATTGTTATTTTTTTATATTTTTTTCCCCAGGGGGCAAAATCGCTCATGGAAGCCCACAACTCCCCAAGACACCGTAGGGTCTCAGTCCCATGATTTCATTAGCCGGTTCTTCGGCCCCCCTCCATGGGCACCGAGCTGAGGCGAGACCTCTCTGAGCGTCTACCACGGGACCTGCTGGGGCTTGCAGCAACTTGGCGCGCTCAAATGGGCATAGGTCAAAATCTCAAAAGGACGCCTATGGCTCCAAAACTCGGCCTTTGGACTGGGTCAAATCAGAGTCTTAATCATGTCGCCACGCGGCCATGGGCGAAAATCCAAATCGGTTAGCCAGTGAACATCAACCAATCCAACCACTAAAATAGGTTCTAAAATGGGTGGCGAATTCACCGAACACCCCAAAATGGTTCCATTGGTTTTGACCCGCAGCCAAATGTTGAGATCCGCTTCATGTGGTCCCTGGAGTACTGCTCACCCCTGTTTTTATTCATATGGTGGCTCAAATGAAAGAGCTAGCGCAAACCGCAGGGTTTTAGTCTTTGGTTCCATTTACCAAGGTGCCATTTTGGTACATGTTGTTGACCCACAGCCATAATGGCGGTGGTTCTCCCTGGTTTTCGTGGTTGGATTCAGACCACTTTTAGAGGGGAACACCCCATATTGATAAGGGGGGTCAACACTAGGCACCGCCGCCTGAGAAACCAAAGGGAATGAATCTATTCCGCAACGTAAATGGTCAACGAACGTGATGGTGCCAACCATAGTTTCATTTCGTGGTGCGAGGTGGGTTTTGTCCATCCAAAGCATGACCTGGGCAGCGAGAATTGTCCTCCTTTTTAACGTCAGCCCTAGAAATCACAGGAACCGGCCTTCAGATTATGATACAAGTCTGTAACAACCTTGTACGGTCCTTTGATTAATCTGAAGGACGAGTTTGTTGGGGATACCCTCCAAGCCACGTTGCCATAGGATATGACTGGGGGTTGGAAGACCATGTTTCGACGGGACCAGAGCTTTTCCGGGCTCCATGGCACAGGAATTACCACAGGTTGATTATGACTCCAATGATGCCATCGAGTAGGTAAGCGACATATTTAAGACACAAAGGAAACGAATTCCCTCATGGAGCTTGCAAGGGCTGAGGCTTCTTCCCCTAGGATTGCTGAAGGGTTCTGAAAATATCACCTGGCGTGACTTTTTTTGGTAGAGGGAAACCGCCGTTTGAAAAAAGTCATGCCAAGGAAACCAGAGGGAATCGTTTGAAAAGCCGCAGGACAACTGGCTTGAAACAGTGGATCTACTGGGAAGGTCGAAGCAAAGAGACCAAAGGGAAACCAAGCGCGAACTAAATGGAAACCAACGCGGACCATGTTTCTGCTCTTTTGATGCTCTTATAATTTAGAGAGGAAATATACAGCAGAACCACAAAAGTCACATCCCATCCGTTACCTTGAAAAGGGAAGTCGTTTCTCCAGGGGTTGATTCCCCATTCTTTTCAACCATCGTTCTTTTCGACCACTTGCCATTTTTCTCTGGGTTTCTGGAGGTTTTCTAGAACCCAGAGGGTCCCTTGGTACCTTCTGAGGAGGTACTGAACGACCCCTTGTTACCCCCCCAAAAGCCATCCTCAGGAGGTACTTGAACCCTCTGGGGAAGGAAGGACCGTTGAACTGATGGGGCGATGCTCCATGCCGTTGCGAACCTTATTCATCAAGTTCAGGAGCGGCTGGATTGATGACAACCATCAAAATGCGATTTCAAAAGTTGCAGATCGACCGTTGCTCGCCTTTCGAGGCTTTGGGGCATTCGCTTGGAGTCCAAGTACGAGAGCGCGCTGATCCGGACGCAGGTCAGGAAGCAAGCGCAGTGCCTCGGACAAAGCGGATTGGAGCATGGGTCCCACGTCTTTTTTCTTTTGTTTTTTGTCTCCTTTTTTTTTCCGGTTAGGATTTTTGTTGGGGACCTCTTGGCCAGAAAAGACCGGTGAGAACATGTTTTGGGGACCTTGAGGCCAACTATTTTTTTCCGTTAGGATTTTTGTTGGGGACCTTAAGAGGCCAGAAAAGACCAAACCGAGCACAAGCAAGCAACAAAGTCTTGGGGTCATTACCCAAAGTCAAGTGAAACGTCATGGACCTATGTTTTAAGGGTCATAAAAATACGTACCTCAACATGGGAGACGCTGTTCACCACTTGAGGGGAAGGAATCCGGAGGAAAAAAACAAAACTCCGCCTGGGATCCACTGGGCTTGCGGGTGGGTTGGGGGCTGGGGAAGTGTGCCTCTTACTTTCCCTGTTTGCCCGTTGTTTGCGTGTTTTGTTTTTCTTTTTTTTGGGGGGGGGGACCAGGGTGGAACAACACGCAGGAAGGGTGTAATCTTTATTTTTGGTACCCAGCAATTGCAGTGGCGCAGAACCAAAGGGAAATCGGGGGTAGAGAGAACAGAGACAAGTTTGGTGTGTAGTGGTGAAACAGTCAGAGTTCAGGCAACAGTTGCTTGATGAGTATTGATGACTTCTCGGCCGTTGTCCCTAACATTGCGGGTTTGGGAACTGGAAGATGAATTTTCACCTTCATCCAAGGCCATGATCATGGGTTGGGCAAGCTTGTTCCGATACCAAGGGACCTCACTTGAACATGACGAAGTCGCCGGGACGGGAATCCCACTGTATCAAAGGGTTCTTTGCCACCTGTCCAAAAGCCATTCACGCAGTTGCTGATTGATTATGTCTTGACCCTAAGAGCCCAGGATTTCCTTGGACCCAACATAGCCCACATGACCCCGGACTTCAAATAGAAACAGGTCGTGGGACCGGGACGCTTGATGTGTTCACCCCACCCGACCCACCCTACCCCACCCCACCTCACCCCAACCCCACCCCACCCTACCCCACCCCACCCGCACCCAACCCTACCCCACCCCACCCCCAGCTCGCCCAACCCACCGCTCCGCACCCCACCACGCGAAAGGCGCACAGAGCAGAACCGAAAGTTGCACACCGTGGTGCGGGCGCAGACGGAAGTCATGCTGGCGGAGTATCGGAAGAACAAGACCATCATCGATCCTTGTGCTCTTTCAGCTGCGAACCGAACCGGCCATCCATCCGTTGAACCGCAGGGGAGTGGTTGGTTCAGCTCCGAAAACCGACTTTCCTTCCATTTGCTGCAAGGAATCTGTTTGTTTTCTTGAATCGAGTTCACTATTGGACATATAGGGCGAACACGCAAATGGAGGACACCAAGCCCAAGTTTCTGGATTTGGTTTTGTTGGGAAGAACCTCTGTTAGACTTTTTGGGAAGATCGCAGTGGCAAGCCGCAAGCCGATAGTTCTGTTTTCTGACTATACGCGGAATTTTCGAAGCATCGAAACACAAGGGCAGAACATCCCGCGGAGATCCCCTTGAGTCGATTCGGCCTCCCGAATACTTCCGGAAGATCGGCGAATCCAAGGGCTGACAATGGTTCTGAAAGAAAGGGTGCAGACTTCTCCTTTTTCGGGAGACCCACATCGATCAGAGGTTTGCGACTCCGTTCGCGGAATTTTTGTTTAGCCAAAAGGATGGCCAGTGCCAGATCCTCATGTTGGGCGGAAAGCCCAGGTTTTACCGTGGAACCTATACAAAACGAGGGGGTTCGGGTTCCCCTATTCGCTTCTCCCGTCACGAAGAACCTCCCGCTCAAAGGCTCGCTCAACCCCGCCTAGGAAGCTCAGGGTGAAGCGGACCGCTACCTCATCGAGCAGGACCTGCGATCCGCTTTCTGGCCCTGAGTTCTCGTTATAGTCACTTTTTGCTTTTGGACCATTTTAGTGGCAACCCTGCACGGACTCAAACTGCCTGCAAGGACCAGTTTAGTGGGAATCAACAAGTTTGGACTCTTTTTCGCCAGCCCAGAAAGTGAGGGAAGGTACCAGCCTTGAGAATCATGGGTGGAATCCACGGTCCATGGGTTTTGCGCGCTCACGTTTTGTCGGTACCCTTCCCTCAAAAAGGGGTTCCACAGAATTTGGAGAGAGGAAGCCAGAGCGGGTATCTTGGTGTGGATTTCGGGCCCTCCGAGATCACTTGTTGTTTGGTTCCCCACTAAAACTGTTTATTCAGGTACAGAGTCTGTTTGGATTGTTCGGATTGTACAATGCTCCGGTTCTTGTAGAGGGTAAATCGGACAACCACGGACCTCCAAACGGCTCCAAACGAATAGTCATAGGAAAACTGGGGCTGATGGCTCAGTGGCAATGCCTGACATTTGTGAGTCGGGGGTCCGAAGGACCTGATACTGGACGAAATCCATTTCGCACCAAGCTTTGGGGCCCTGAGGCCTGTATTCCCCCTTTGGTGGTTTCAATCATCACCTTTTTGGGCTGGGTTTACGAGAGTTGCATGGTGGTAGGGTGATGTTGGAAGGGGAAATACACGGAACTATGAACGTTGGGGTGACATATTTGTATGCATGTGTATATATTATGCATGTAATATATTGGTTAACGTGTTAAGTTTGAGTTGATTGATTTACGGGGTGCTGAAAGTTGACTCGGTTTGAACGAACACCGAAAGGGAACCAACCGCCGCACAGGTTTTTGTGCAGTTTGTGAAAACCGCTCCATTCAAACTCCCCCAGATACCGATGCACATACGGTACGGTTCGGCCGGAGTCGAGGGGACCCTTCATCGCCACTCGAAGTTCCATTGCTTTGGTGCCAAATCATTCCCAAAGACGCTTTTGCCCCAGGAGGAGGCCTGTCAGTTGATATGAGCAACGACCAATAGTCAGTATCATTTACTTTGAGTGAAGGGGATGACATACCCTGTACCAAGATCCCAGCATTGTCTTCCATTTGCTTAAGAATATGTGAATTTTCCCTGGTTGACTTTTGAAGGGAATCCATCACCACTGGATATAGTTTTATTTTTTTCCACGGCCGGAAAAAGCAAATGGATGCTTTCCAGTTGCCATGGGCATCACTCACCGCATGGGATCACTTTGAAGCCCTGGGCAGCAGCCAGGAAGCCATGGCCACCGCAGAGAAGAATTGGATCGATGCGCGCCTCGTCCATGGGGTGTTGTCCACTCCAAGGTTGGTGCGTGTGTGCCTGCGTGTGTGTGTGTGGTGTTTGTGTGTGTGTGTGTGCGCGCGCGTGTGTGTGTGTGTGTGTGTGTGTGTGTGTGTGTGTGTGTGTGTGTGTGTGTGTGTGTGTGTGTGTGTGTGTGTGTGTGTGTGTGTGTGTGTGTGTGTGTGTGTGTGTGTGTGTGTGTGTGTGTGTGTGTGTGTGTGCGTGGTGGGTGTGGGTGGTGGGTGGTGTGGTGGGTGGTGGGTGGTGGGTGGTGGGTGGGTGGGTGGTGGGTGGGTGGGTGGGTGGGTGGGTGGGTTGGGTGGGTGGGTGGGTGGGTGGGTGGGTGGGTGGGTGGGTGGGTGGGTGGGTGGGTGGGTGGGTGGGTGGGTGGGTGGGTGGGTGGGTGTGTGTGTGCGTATGCGTGTGCGTGTGCGTGTGTGGGTGTGGGTGTGTGTGTGTGTGTGTTTGCGGAATTGGCACTTCGATTTGTCTCATTATGGCACATCATGATGTGGAATTTCGACCACCAAGCTTTTCCATTCCAGCCCAAATGTGCATTCTAGCGACCAAGCGTTTGGTTTCCATTTGGTTTCGTTTCAAGGAAGAAGGGCCCCCCTCAATTGAACACACCCCGCATGGACCTGCTTCTCAGAGAAAAGCATGGGGGCCAATTTGAGCGGTACTGCGATGAAAGGTGGCGGTCACAGGCTCCCCGCAGGCTCCCCGCACAAGGAAACGGCATGTCCTTTCAGTGGGTTTGCGTCGTTGTTTGACAGTTACTTTTTGTTTGGAACTGAATGCCGTTGAGTGCCATTTGACCAACCCAAAGGAACCCTGCCGGGCAAAAGGAGACAATGCTCAAGTGACAGAGGTGTGGAGGGTCTCTGCAGATTTGCTCATGGAAGGGTTGGACTTGACTGATCACAAGTGCGCGCCGCACATTTGGTGTGGCTTTATCTCACAAAGCGACTTAATGACACGCAACAATGCATGTTTATGAACCTGCGTGAGCAACTTTTGGGTGTAGATGCTCTGCCCCTTTGAAGCAGGCCATGCTCTTGTCAGGAGCCTTGAGCCGACTACTCTCAGCGATCACAGCTCCTGCCTACCGAGCTGAGTTGCCCTACTTTGACTGGCCAATCTGTGTGTGTGGGCATCCTAGCCAGGCTTTTGCCCAAGTGCTCGACCTTTCTCTGCTCTACAATCATTCCCTCTTTGCCTTGCGGAGTCGTCCAGCTCAGTGGGGCGCCGCCGTGTTTGTTCGCCCTTGCCCTGTCGCCTGAGTCGGGCGACCGTCCTTGTTGGCCACCAGGTGCCCATCGCCTATCTCCAGCAGGGGGGTTGATAGCCTGCCTGTCTGGCACTCCCTCGCAAGGTCTATTTTCCTTGATGCGTGAACTCGAAAGCTAAGTACCTGCTGCCTACACAAGCTCTAAGCTCTTGCCTCGACGTCAGCGCCCTGCCAAGAGTCTTGAGGTGCGCCTGGGCCACTGGGCGGCTGTTGATTTGGCAGCTATCTGCCCGCGCAAGGGTGTCGCACTGTGTCACTCATGCCATGTGATACTCCTCCAAACCGCCTGCCCAGACCATGGTGATTGAGTTGAACGCGTGGCTAGCCTTCCTGGAGTTGGTAGTGAGACTGTTCTGCACTTTCCATTTCAGAGCAAGAAGGTGCCAAAGAGGCTGTTCCCTTTCGACGTTGACTTGGTAGCTTATTGATTACTTTCGGACTGCAGCCGGCGCGCCAGCCGAAGTGGAAGAAGGTGCTCTCGAAGCTCAAGCCACTCGATCGAGAATGTGCGCCAAGATCCAGCGCTGACAATCGCGCATCGGAAGCTCTGCAGCCCCTCCCTGTACATAGCGGAGTCATCCAGAAGCGGCTCGGTCCCTTGCCAGCTACTTGCCTGGCGGCTCCTTGAATGTCTGCAGCGAGAACGAGGCCTTGGAGCCGCCGGAAGCAAAGAGCACACGCTGATTCATTGCGCCTACACTTTCTCAATACTTCCTCAAGCGCATAACTACCTCCCTCCTGTCCACGCGGAGGCATCCGTGGGGCAAAGGAAGACAAGGTGCGTGACAAGAGCCGGCGTAAGGAAAGCGCTGAGTTGCGCATGGAATTTGCTCGCGGAACCAGGCGCAAGATTTGCGCAAGAGAAGCTCACACAAATTGCGAAAGCGCCTTTTAAACCTGTGCGCGTGCAAGCTCGCGCAACAACCTAGATTTTGGCAGAAGACCCTGTCCGACGCCGCTCAGTTTGTTTTACCAGCATTTGGCCTTGGGTCATCTTCAATAAGTCAGCCGGCTTTGGGCAAGCATACCAGCTACTCCAAGTACCTGTTTTTGTTTTCTTCGTGTGTTTGCAAAAGCCGGTTTCCCATAAACCTCTTTTTAAGTCAAGAGTTAGCATTACACCCTAATCGTGATGGAATGTGGCTCCCCCCAGCCCTACAAAACAAAACCCGGACCGGAAGGTTTGCGCTCAATCTGCAGCGGAACTCACAAATTTGAGTTTGTTCCAAGCTCCAGAAATTTGCATTGCATCAAACGTGGATCCACCCAATTCGGTCCAAACGGATCCCTAGCATTCACCGCCCAAGTGTTCCAGGTGAGCACTTGACGCAATCAGTTGGTTCTGCAGGGGTTGCACCATCCAGGGTAATTTAACAGGACTCGATTTTATGTAGCTCGGATGTTTTTCCGTAGCAAAGCTGACTTCTCTACTCTCCGATTTGTTTTTCCCGTAGCAAACAGCCAGCTCGCGGCCGGATTCTCTCCGCCGTTCGACGTGCCCAAACTTAAGGCAGGCGAACGCCCTGGAGGTGGTCCGGAACACCGTGCAGCTTCCTGGCCGCATTTGTTTCCACCGGGTTGGGGGAGCCCCGCTGGCCGGGCGCCGGGCGCCCTTTTTGAGGGTTTCCCATGATGCAGACTCATGTTGTTTATTATTGTTTTCAAGGGAGCCCAAAAAAAACCAAGCCAAGCATTACAAACCCGGACCTGGCGAAACCATCCTGTGCCAGTTGAGCCATGTACAGATAACCAAAAACAACCTCCTTTGAAAGTTAAAAGGAGAAATGCGATGGTTTCTCAGTTATTGCAGTGGCTTGCCTGGATCTACTGGGGATGCAGGCCATGGTGCGGAAATCAGTGGCACGGATACGCGCTGGTTGAAGTTCCCTTTCAAGTTGCTGTAGTGGTCGGAGAAGGAAGAGTGTAATCAAAAGGAGTTTGATTGAACAATCCCAGTGCTTCCAGTTGCCATTCCAGGGAACAAGGGAAATCAACATGTAGAAGCTAGGATAGAAGGCCCTGTTTGCAGTGGGTTGCGTGGAAGCAATGATAATTGTCCCTGATAGTTGTTTGAACATGTTTAGGCAGGTGGCTGAATCGCCCAACCCTGCTTAAAGATCCCTGACTTACGAAGTTTCGCGAATTCTTCGTGGTTTGTTCACAAAATGGGGACCCTCTTCATCCTTGGTTCCCTAAGCCAGTGGATTTCAGTTACTACTACAAGTCACCAGCAATTGAGGTATTTTTTGCCATGTGTTCGCCTGGTATTTGGGGGGGGGGACTCTCATTGTGTTGCGGAGGCACCGCCTAGGCAGTTCTGGTCGGATCGCCTAGGCAGTCCGCATAGGCTGTTCAAGAGGCATACTCTGTCTTACACAAACTCAAAGAGTCTGCGAGGCGATCGTTGCAGTGTAGGCGCGGTAGGCACCCTTTCATGGTTCTTTGGCCGAACACGGGAACGAAAGAGCAAGAATAATACTTGACTGCTATTGGGTTGGATGTTTAGACTTTAACTTTTTAGGAATTAAAGGTGTTTTCCACTGAACCCCCCAAAAGTTAAGCACTTTTTGCAGGGGGGTCAACAGCAACCATAGTCACTCCGATTTTTGTTTTCCTGAGTTCCCTGTTCCAGGCTCGCCTCCCCCACAAACCAACGAGGAATCGATTCTTGTTTCGTCGGTGGGTAAACCGACCTGTCTTTTTCCTCCAAAAAGACGATGCGCTTGGCTCTGAATCTAAACCTGGAAACCTGAAATTGTTACAAGTGGTGGGTCGACATACATTCGCGCCCAAATGATGTCCGGCAAAGAGTCTCCCCATCAAAAGAGCTTGAACATGAAAGGCGAATTGTTTGAGTTGTTTTTTAGGCGGACAGTTGATGTTAGATTGCTCTATGCAGCTAGCACCCTGCAAACAACTCCCAACAAACAAATGCGCCTGTCGCCTGCGGTCTTTCTTCCTTGCCCTAAGGATCCTGCTGGATTTTGGGGCCCCAAGATATGTCCTTTTGAGACCCCCTTGTCGCAACTCAGGGTGTGGCTGCATGGTACGGGGACCGGGTCCCGGGTTCTGCATACCAAGCCGCAGGAGCCTTAAGAAGTGTCTTCTTCCTTCCCCAGAATTCGTTCCTCTTTTTTTTTGCTTTTTAATTCCGGGTCCCTTTGTTTTCCACCAACCAGGCAAAATCAAAAAAAATATGGGGTCCCCTTCTTCCAGCCAAGTTTCCTCGTGTCAACGTGTCGTTGGGCACCGTAGGCTGAAGAACGTGGAGATGAACGATGAGCAGCCAGGGACCTGGAGGGGTTCAGAGGCTGAGGAAGGTGGCCCTCTAGTTGTTTTTTCCAGAATTAGTTGCCCCTTTTTACTTTTTTTTTTTGGGGGTTTTTGTTTTTTTTGTTGTTGTTGTTTTTTTTTGGGGGGGGGGGGTTCCCTTTGTTTTCCACTAGCCTGTTTGTTGTTTATGTTGTTTTGTTTTGTTGGGGTTCCCTTTGTTTTCCAACCTGTATTTTTTTCAGGCGACCAAGCGCCCACCAAGAGCTCCTCCGCGACCTTTGCTCCGTGGCGCCATGCCTCCTAAGGTCTTTCCCCAAAACCTGAGCCCCTTGGCAATCGGATTCAATTCGGCTGCAAACTGCTGATGATCATGCCCAAGTGAAGGCACACGATTGACACTAACCAGGCATTTTCTTGGCTGGGGTCCTAATTCCAGCCAAGTAGTGATTTCATTCGTCGTATAGCAGCTAACCATGAAAAGCCGCTGTTTGCAGATGAATGAAACGGAAATTGGCTGGTTACCTACTAACTGGCGGTTCCACATTGGTATGGCTTGGCTGCTATTGGGTAACGGATCTTTAGACTTCCACTTGTTGTTTGAAATCAAGTTGGGGTTTCCACTAAACACCCAAAAGTTGATCTTTTTGCAGTGGGTCAACAGCAACCAAGATAGCAGCTAACCATGAAAAACCACAGTTTGAAGACTACATGAAAAACGGCTGGTTGCCTACCTAGTAGGTAACTGGGACATTTCGGCAAGGAACTGGTACTGTGATTGAGCCATCCATTGTGACTATAACCTGTTCCACAGGGCTTGAGGTTCAGCATGCCTTTCGGTTGGAGATGTCAAAGGAGCTTCAAAACTAGGTCCCTCAGTAGTGCCCTTTTACCCTTTTTTTGGGGAGGGTTCCCCCTACTAAAATAGACTACAGAAAAAGGTTGGTATACCCTTATTCTAACCTCTCTACTGGAGGACCTAGATAAGAAGCCTTGGGGCATCGTTTCGACCGCACCTCATTTCGGACCGGTTTGGCTTGAAGACAGCTGTAAGGGCAGCTCCCAAGATTTTGGGCTAGGCGAATTCAGGGACACCCCATCCAGGGATGGTATTGGTTGAGGCATCGCTTGACACAAATGGCTCGACCTTTTGGTGCGCTAGAAATCATTTTGAGTAGTCCAGAGAGCTGATCACCTGTTGCTTTCCAGGTTTGGTCAAGCAAAGGGAAAGTCATTTGAGGCTTGGGTCAACTTTTGGTGTCACCATGTGATGTTTGATCCTTACCAACAAGGATGATGGTGATTAGAACACCTGTCAGTCCTCCATTGAAAGCTGACCTGGCGGCCAGGTATTTGAGTGGGACCCTCAGCAAATCCGTGCCCAGGCTGATCCGGTACCAAAAGATCGTGATGCTCAGCAACAAGCTGCAGCCTCAGCGTTGCGGGGCCAGATCGATCTGGGGTCTCCAAATTATATATACCCTAGGGGCTTGGTATGCAGAACCCGGGACCCGGTCCCCGTACCACACCCCGAGTTGCGACAAGGGGTGTGAAAAGGACATACTTTGAGGACCCCCAATCAGGACCCTAAGCCTTAGGGTATGTATATTCCATATAGGGTCGACCAAGTTTATTGCTTCTTGCGTACCCCAGATTCTGAAGAGATGAGATGATGGATCAACCTATCCAGTCCAATCCTGGAAGAGGACAAGGAATGAGTTGTAGCATGCTTTGGGCCTGCGGAAACCATCCATTTGATTAGCATGCTGCCTTGGAAACAAGACGCCTGTCCTTTGCCATTGAACCGTCACTCACCACAACCAGGTTGGACTCGTGCCGAGGACACCTATTAACATGGTTGTTGTTGGGAAACATTTTGCATTTTTGCTTATTGTGGTTTAGTGGGAAATGGTCACTTGACTGCTAAAATCTATGTTTTTGCTCTCCTTCCAACGTCAACCAAGTTAATGAGTGGTTCTCGGACCGCTTTTTTGTCGGCATATACAGCATCACAGGAAATCTGCCTTCCCCAAGGCTCCTTTCTGAGGCTTGCAGAACCCGGGACCCGGTCCCCGTACACTTTGAGTTGCTCAAAGGGGGTGTCAAAAGGACAGATTTAGAGTTGCCCCAAAATTCATGGATCGGAGCCTTAGGGCCTTAGGGTTGGCCGATTTCGACCGCACTTTTCAGACGAACCCGGCAGGGCTATCGGTTACAGAGCGAGTCCGGTTGACCTGAGGTCCGCGACCAACTTCATCATGAAAGGCAGGAGCGCCAATCACTTCACATCCGCCCCCCAACCCCAGTGTTGGACCTGGGAAAAATCCTAGATTTCCCAGTAGCACCCTTTTCCCCTCTTTTTGCGGAGGGTTCCCCTACTAAAATGGACTGCAGAAGAAAAAAACGGGTACCCTTATTCTAACCTCTCTACTGGAGGACCTAGAATCGGGTTGGGTCCCCCCTGGCCTGCTTTGTCCCATGTCCAAAAATCCCTGGACCAAAAGGCAGGAGGCAGTGGCTGGGACCCGGGTGCTGCTTGGAAGGTTGAAAAAGGGGGACTGGACACCCAACCTTAAAAAAAAAAGGGCTCTTCAACGGGAAGAACTGAACCCCAACTGAACTATCGGTGTTAGTTATTTTTAGAAGGGAATACCAACACAGTTCATTCTCTTTGGACAAAACTCGGCACGGAATATGCTTTCAGAACATGGTTTGTGGGCAACCATACAGAATTGCTGCAGGGTGCTAGGCAGTGGTTTATTCCAGTTGACAGGGCTTTTGTCCTTATGGCTCACGCCTACATGGCCTTTCGGTCACAGGAAGCATCAGATGCCTTTTGGCGCCACTAAAAACGCGCGAGGCTCCCATTTTTCGCCAGGCACCTCCGACTTGGATGTGGGCAAAGCCCGCGAGATCAAGCAGATGGCACAGGCCGGCTTCGTTTCGGGACATGTGGAGTGGGGTGTCAAAATATTAGAGAAATATGTTGTTTTCTTCTCTTGAGAAGTATGTGTTGTTTGGGTCAGAACACTGGATTTCCTTTTGGGTTTCCTCTGAGCCAATCCCAAAAAGGGTGTGACCGAACCGCCCGGCTTTTCCATTACGGCTACAAAAGGTTAGACCTTTGCTCAGGGGCAAGAGCAACCTAGTACTGGGTGTGTTTTTTTGAGGGCAGCCTTTTCAGGTTGATGAAAAAGATAAAACAAAAGGACCGACCACCACCACGTTTTGCGGTCCTTTTGTATTTCGGTATTCGCAACATCTCCCACAACTTGTGCCTTTGACCAGCAAGATGAGTTAAAAGAGAACATGTGCTTCCATTTGCCTGGGAATATGTCTTATTTTACCCTGGTTTTAAAGGGAACCGATTTCAATAAAAAGCACATGGCGGCCACAGTCAGATTTACTCGCATGCAGTTGTATCGGTTTGACTCAAGCCTTTGGCGGGCACTTTGGGGTCTCCACTACTGTTGACCCCATATGAAACAACCCCGGATTATTAATAGGGGGTGGGGACCTCCCAAAGGTATGGTTCCCCACTCAACTATGGATGAACCAAATAGGACAACACCTGAAATGGTTGGCTTCCTTTTGGTTTCAAGAGCGCGCGGGGTTGAAAGGGTTCATGGTGTGCCAATGTGAAAAGATTGGGGCTGGTTATGAACCCTTTTAACAGGGATTTGCGACAACCAGGACCACAAGGTTTTTTGGTAGGATCACAACCATGGCCGAATTTGTTTGGAGTTTGACCTGCACACTGGCCCCCAGCAAGATTCTCAGAGCCTAAGAAGCCCTTGTATGAGGCTTCTGAGAACACTTCCTTTCCTTTTAGTGGGCGATGCTAGACTGGAACTATGCGAACTGTGGCTTGATTGTCCCGAGGCATATATGTATCGTTGCTTGTCAGTGCTACTTGTGCAACGCTACTTGTCCACATGGAGCCTATCATCATTTGGCCTTGCATACCCTCAGTTTGCACGGCATGCGATACTAACTGCTCGGGTTTTCTGGAAGGACGGATTCCTCGAGAAAAATGGGGAAGTTGGCCCCTAGAAAATGTCCTTGGACATGATTTGCCGCCCTCGTCGAGCAAATTGAAAAAAATCGCCCCGTGCTGCGGCACGGCGCGGAGTTTTTTTTCTGCGACTTGCCGTGGGCCACTGAAAAGGGGCAGATCCTTACCCTGGGGAACTTGCACTGGGACGTGGGTCATATGGGTATGGGTCAAAACTAAAGCACCCGGAATTGGACCGCACTCTGAGGGAGGTCAGAGGGACTCAAGCTCAAGCAAGAAACCGCCTGGAAGGAAGGTTAGGCTCCAAGTCGGCTTTCCTTCAAAAGGGAGACCACGGTGGTGGAAAATTGAGTTTTAGGTAAGGCCACTTTCTGTGCCAAGCGAATCTGGTGGCAAACTGGTTTGGAATGGCCCACTTGGTATCACAGGGGTCGAACCCAATTTGAGGTTCATATCCATGTTGTTTGTCAGCATGGGGGTATTAGCTGCTTTCAACGGGCACTGCACCTGAAAAATTCAGGTAGGTCGACGAATTGGCCGATTTGGGTGTTCAAAGCGAAACCTGGATCTTCCGATTGATCGGATGCCAGAAGGCTAAATCAGAAAGTGAACAACAAAAATGCGGCGTGTTTCAGGGTAGACAAAGGAGACCAAGGAACCAAGCATGAGGTTCTCGTAGGAAGGACTGCTCAGTGTCCGGAGTTCCGCAGCTCCCCCATTTTGCGGATGAGATCCCCCAATCAATATCAACCGCGGGTCTATGAATCCGGGGTCTAAAACACACTGAAGCCAGTAAGGTGTCCCCCTGTTTTCATCTATTTCCCACTTTCCCTTGGGGTATCGGTTAACGCATTTCTGATTTGGTGATTTCCAAATCGGCCCCCCAAGATGAATGGGTTTTCTGTTGGTTTCCCTAGGACTCTGCACCTGAAGTGTGGCCCTTGACTCCAAAACTTCCCCAGAATGAGTTTCCCTTTTATTTTTTGCTTTTTTGGGGTTCCCTTTGTTTTCCACTAACCCGGCAAACAAGCATTTTTTGCTGGGGTCCAAATTCCAGCAAAGAACAGATCCCCCACAACACGGACTCCCTCACCCGATCTGGGCACCCGCACCCTCTCCCGAAGGGCAGCCTCTCCGGCAGCGATGCGCTTCAGATCGGCTGGGAGGCGGGGAGTGGGTTTTGGTTGCATGCCGGTGGAGGGCCTTTTTTTCCGGATGAAGCTGCCATGGAGGAGCAGGGCTCTACCCAAATGGGTGTGGCTCAAAATTCAAAAGCTAGGGCTACGCAGGTTTTGGTCTTTGGTTCCATTTGCCAAGGGTGCCATTTTGGTACACGTTTTTGAGCCACAGCCAAGTGAAAAACGCAATCCGGTTGCATAAGTGACTTCCGTCTGGCGAGGAGATCATATGTCGGAAATATCCGGATAGTTGGGGAAATAAATCAATTCCAGGTCTGAAGTTGCATGGTAGCGCTGACCCTCACCCTACCATAATTCACTCAAGTTACCCTCCCCATGAACTTGGAGCCTCACGGGGGGGGGGGGGGGTCCTCAAAGACTATTCGTTAAATTAATCTTGGACCTTAGATTCCTATTGGGTAACTGATCTTTAACTGATCTTTCGACTTTCAACCGATAAACAGTTATTCACTTTTGCAGAGGGGTCAACAGCAAAGCTCATGCTGACTATTTCTGGTAGAGTGAGGGTCAGTGGAGTCGAACCGTGTTGTTTGGACAGATTCTTCAACATGGGCATGGCTGGCCAACGTTTGGCATCCCTTACATCTTTGCTATTGACTAAAATGATGGAACAAACACAGATTTAAATCCGCTTAGAGTTGAAGGTTGACCAGGATGTCTTGGGCTGTCCGTGTTGGCAGTTTTAATACTTGAGTTACCCCCAACAACTGCAATTCTAGACATCTAGACGGCACTTGGGATCCGTTTGGGACATTGGAGTTGCTGCTGTTGGGAACATTTACGGACTTTGTGCGGTGGCCAACAGATTGTTTGGGGCTTGGGCAAAACTTTAAGTTTAATCAAGCATCCCTTGGTCAAAGCATTTGGCTGCTCAAAAGTTGGTACCCAAAATGGCACCTTGGTAAATGGACATAGAGACGATCACTTGCGGTTTGCCCCTGCTGTTTGAGCCATAGAAAAATGTTCGTTACTTTTTGGCGAGTGACCGGAACTTTTGTTGTTCAGCACCAGGTATCCCTGTTTTGGTGGGTTTCGCACTGGCCAAGCCCCAAAGGGATAAAGAAATTCTAGGGTCACCGGGTAACTCGGGATTTTTAACACGCGAATTGTTGTTTTTACGTGTTCAAGATTCAAAGGCAGACAGCCCGTGACAGCCCCAAAAGAAGCCAGCTATACCTTTAAGCTATGCTGAAGATTCAACAAGAAGTGGTGTTTGCTAGCTTGCAAATTGTCCTACAGAAATCACAACAGAGAAGGCAAAGGATAGGCATGCAAGTCAGGAATCGACCCCTTCGTGAGCGTCGATCTAGTGGAAAGTACCGTGCGGTGAAACCACCAGAAGTGGCAAAGCATTTTCATCCAAGAGGGTTTTCACTTTTCCAAGCACAAGAGTAAGTTTTTGCAGCGGGGCACCAAGCCGGGACAGAAGTTTCCCATGAGTAGTCAGGGGACCCTGAATGGGGTTGAATCAGCGGGTTCCAGCTTGCACCAAAGCACCATGTATTTTGCGATTTGCTAACGCTTGAGCCTTGGAGCTTTTTTTTGTGCAAGTTCCGTTCAAGCCACCGCAGGCCCCAGGGTGCAATAGTGATCATTAAGCGCTAGCGTATGATTTGAGGCCAACAGTGGATCCATGGGGTTCAGTTGCCACCATCAAAACAATGGGAGGTCATGTATATATAACCACCATTATTTTCCTAAGGATTGTCATCCAAATGGGGTCCTTGCCTTTCTTTTCATGGGGGCGAGGAAACCTAGCTTGTTCTTCCAGGATTCCTTTTGCAACCAAGAGCAAACCAAGAGAAGGACTCCACCCATCCACCCATCCACCCATCCACCCATCCACCCATCCACCCATCCACCCATCCACCCATCCACCCAGCCCTTCATCCAACTCCATCCATCCATCCACTCCATTCCATTCCATCCATCCATCCACCCATCCACCCATCCATCCATCCATCCATCCATCTGGGTGGACCCCGCTTTTGCGGGCCCTTGCATCAAGGCTAGGGAGATGGACAATTCTTCAGTCTTTCCAGACCCTCAGGTCTCTTTCGCCTCAAAGCACCAAGCCCAGTCCTTAGGGCATGGAGAGCAGCTCGTGAGCGGGCGATTTCGAGCAAACGCGCGGCTTTTCGTGGCGGGCGATTTCGAGTTGCCCGGGATGGAAGCCCCCGAAACAGAACCGAACAGAAATCGATCAACGCCAGAAGTTTCCATAGATCTCACTTGTTTCAAGGGGTCAAACTTTTTTGCAGTTTTGAGCCCTCTATCCAAACCTTGCCCAACACTCCGGGAGCAAAGACATGAAATTCGTGTTTCGCGCCGAGCGACCGGCGGCAGCGCTGGACGAGTTCGGTTTCGGTTCGCCGATTTGAGCCGTTCTGAGAGCATTTGATCCCGAGGTTCTCCAGTCACATTGTGATGGCTTTGTCTCAATGAAAAAACAACCAAACAGCTGGGGAACCCGTTGGTTTTTTGTGGCTTCATTTTGGTGATTCCATTGATAGGGATATCAACACCCTCTGTTTTTTGTTTTTTTTTGTTTTTTTGTTTTTTTTTTGTGGTTTCATGTTGGTGATTCCATTGATAGGGATATCAACACCCTCTGTTTTTTTTTTTTTTTTGTGTGTGGTTTCATTTTGGTGATTCCATTGATAGGAACACCCTCTGGGGTTGACTTATGGAAATGCAGTTGCAAGGGTCAAAGGTCAAAATGGGGTCTCAAAATTGTTGAAAGGACCCGCTTGGATGTGAGAGAAACTGCCTGGTTTTCTAGGGCTACCTCCCCCATTCTTTCCAAGGATCTTTCTTTTCAGCAAACCATCAAAAACCCAGGGGAAACGGCTGGTTTTTGAAAAGAACGATAGTTGAAAAGAATGGGGAATCAACCCCTAGAGGTTTAATACGGCTCAACGCTTTTGGCCGGCGAGTTTCACCCTTGGAGGCGTTGTGAGTCTCAGTCGCAGCGGGAGAGAGTGGCCGGTGTGCTTCTTGGTCCGACTCATGGCACAACTATCATAAGACCCCAAATACCAAGCGCTTTTGGGGGTCTTATGGTAATTTATGGACCAAACAGGAAGTGTTTACCGAAGAAAGCAACAAACATGTTTTTTTGTTTTGCTACCTTGCAAGGTAGGATTCTTTGGGTGACATGTTGTAACAACCAGCCTGTCCCCTTAGGGACCAAGATGTTTGATTGAACAGCTTTAGCTGGACAAGATGATTGCCGAGCGGACTTTCGAGCTTTCTGGGATCCGTTGGCTTTCCCGAGGGTCTTTTGGTACCTAAGGTACTGAATCATGGTTGTTGTTGGGATTTGTCTTTTTGTTTGTTTACATTTTTGCTTATTGTGGTTTAGTGGTTGAAATCCAACCACTTAACTGCCAACATTTTAGATGTTTTGCTCCCCAAACCCAACGTCAACCAAGGAATGACCCCTTGGTAAACCCCCCCCCCCAAAAAAAAAAGCCATTTCTGAGGTACCAAATAAAACCCTCTAGGTTCAGAGCTAGATGCTTGGAATGGAGCTACGGGCCGGGTATCCAACTTGTTGCCTTCAAAGAGGCTGAGATTATGGAGCGACCGATCGGAGATCTGAAAGGATGGGAATGTCACTTTGATGCAGCCAGTCGCTTGGGGGACCTCCAAAGCAGTGGGTTTCGCCGTTTGCAACTTGAAACCATGAGAATTGTCAATCAGTCCACAGTTGTTCAAGAACATCTGAACGGGCCATTTGTGTGGCTCGCAACGCCCGTGCGAACCTCGCCAACCCGCGACGTTCGATGACCCAAAATGCGCCTTTTTGCCCGGCGCGGGGGCCGAAGGCCCCCGGACGGTTTCGCTTGGGCCGCAAACCTGGCCTCGAAGGTGTCAGCAGCTGGAGGTGAAAAGCAGAACCAGGGACATACTGGATGGACGAAATCCTGCACCACCTAAGAAACCCTAAAATGATCCCCTGTAAATACCAAGAAAGAATGGTTTCCAATGGATTCAAAAGTGGCGCAGGATTTCGTCCATCCACAGTATTCCCCCCCAATTTGCGACGTGCGTTTTGCCTTAAGATTTTTATGGCCCAAAACGAACCGGGGTTTTCCCACGGACATATTGGATAGGATTTGGAACGCGGGAGAAGCGAGAGAGTCGCGCTGCGGTGTGCTTTGGTCCACAAATGTATGGCCAAAAGGTGAGTCTGGAGTCGCGTGGCAACATGTTATCAAGGGGCGAGGGTCAAAGGGCCATGGTTCAAAACCAGTACCATATTGGGATAGGTGCACCACCCATCTTACCTATTTTAGGAATGTTCACTGGGGGTTCGGGATTTGGACCCATGGCCAAATGATCGGAGAATGGTGAAGTTTCTAGCTCTTCCCGGGGGCTATGGTGCTGTTTCCTTCTGTTTCATTCCCCGAATGCTTCCCAACTCTCGGTGTTCCTTTTTGGTTGCTTTGGTTGAAACCAAGCAAAACATAGCGGCGATTCCTGGTTTAGATGGTTCGGTTTCATCCATTCGGACACCCTCTTGGGGGCCAAAAGCCGGAGGCCAACTCAATTCTGCAAGACAGGGAAGAAGGGAAACCCCGAAACAAATCAACCATGGTTTGTGGGTTGGTTTGCTTGCGTGGACCTTCGACTCCTCGTGGATTCCAGGCAATTTACCGTGGAATCTCCCAAGGAATTAGACCAATGGCCGGCCCCATGAGGCCCTCATATGGCTGTGGGTCAAAATCAATGGTACCATTTTGGGGCAGTGAACGACCTCCTTTGACAACCTGAAACTTCTGAAACTTTGATCGTCAAAATGAAAACATCTTACCTGTTCGTATTGAACCTGTCCCAAGGCTTGGGGGCACAAGGGCCCATCACACTGGACCTCCCCAGAGCCGCCATGACTCACTCAAGCACGTCGCATCGGTCCGTCAATTTCCGAGCCCCGGGGATGTCAGCGAATTAAACATGAGCCGTTCAGAACACGATGGAATACGAACAGCAAAACACATGATTGTTTGATGCTGCCAGTGGTTGCGTCTCCCTGCTTTTGCAGCCAGCGCACCACCCATTCTAGAACCTAGTTTAGTGGGGATTGGGATGTTCACTGGGGGCACGGAATTTTGACCCATGGCCATATATCATATATCTATATTAAACACATATTTGGGGGTTGGGCAGGCTCATTTTGAAGGAGTCAGGAAAACCACAGGACCATTCTGCAAATTCCCAAGATGCACATGTGCGGCTCTCGGGGGTTGCTGTAGCTCGCGACTTGATCTTGATGGCAGACAAGAACACCCCGACAACAGCTTGATTGCTTAAAGGGGCCCAGGCTGGGCACTTCAGTGGAAGCAACCATGGAAATTTCACAACCCAGAGGGTCCAAGTATCTCCTGAGGATGGCTTTTGGGGGGTTTACCAAGGGGTCGTTCAGTAGCTCCTTAGAAGGTACCAAGGGACCCTCTGGGCAATGGTTGAAGGTCTCCTAGGTGAATTCTCAGGATTTGGTTGCCATCCACTCGAAGATTCCAGTGCTCTCTCCGTGAAGCTTTGAGGGGTCAGGGTACAGGATCGGAACGGGCTCGGAACGGGTACCGACTCACGCAAACGTCGGGGCCCAAAAACCACTTGCCGCGCAACATCGGGAATACCAAATTTCTCCCCCCCCAAAGAACATGAGACGAAAAAGAGAGAAACCGAGAGAGGGTGAGGTTCTATCCTTTTTAGTCCTGAGACCCAGTTGGTCCTTTTGGGATTTCATATCTAAGGTTCAAGGGCGGGTCCAAGTGGATCTTAAGCGTTTTTTCGCGGATTTTTGGGCTGGGCAAGTCTTTCGGGCCCTCATCTCTGAGCTCCACAGGGGGTCAAGGGGATCTCAAGTAGTTTTTGTTAGTCAACTTATTCTTTTTTGTTTTTGTTTTTTTTGGGGGGGTGCTGTTTTTGTTTTTCATTCTTTCGCTTTATGTTTTTTTGGCGGGGGGGGGACTGACTTTTCGATGTTTCTTTTTTTTGGGGGTGGGGGTCCGAGAGGTGGAGATCCCAGCAGAGGGCTGGGAGCCGGGAGACCTGCTGGTGGTGCGCTGTAAGGCGCCGACCCCCTCCGTTTCTTTTTCTTTTCTTTGTTTAATGTGTTCTTTTGTGTTTTTTCTAGTTTCTTTCCCGGTTTTTTGTGTTTCTTTCCGTGTGGGGGGGCCATAAAGTTCCCGAAGACCCCATGGCTCCATTTTGGGGTGGATGAACATCCATTTGTTCGATTTTGTTTGTGTTTTTGCTGTGGGGAGGGCTGGGGGTCATTGTCTTGACGGTTTCTGGGGATTATCAAAGTCAGAATATGGAATCGGTTGTGTCCCTTTAACACACCACTTGGGGGGTAACTTTGATCATGATAAAATAATGAAGCCCCCGAAGACCTAGGTTTTGGGTTTAGGGAATATTTGCTTGAACACTGAAGTATGCTTGCTTTGTTGCGGGGGGTCTTTGTTTGGGGGGTACCCTTTTTTGGGGCATGAAAGGACTCATTGAGTTTCCCAAGACTTGGGTTGGGAAACAAGTCTACTTTTGACCGCTCAAAAGGGCAATCCGGCAATCCGCTAGCGGGTGTTTTCCGTACAAAGATTCGACAAGGAAACTCTCAAGGTGAAGTCACTTTTTCACACTCCATCGGGTTGGTTTCCTCATCTCGACTGCTATTGGGTTGCATCTTTAGACTTTATCTCTTTGGGAAATAAAGGTATTTTCCACTAAGCCCCAAAAAGTTATTTTTTTTGCAGGGGGGTCAACGGCAACCAAGTCATTCACAAAGTGGCCAAGAGGAACGATTTGAGAGCTTTTCGAACTCCATCGATGGTAAAGTCTCTGAGGGTGCTTTTACATTTCCTCAGGCCCGAGCAAAACAGGGTTTACAGCCAGACCTGAGCGCAGTGGTTGTTGAAAGAATTGATGTCTAAACAAGGGTCCTTCCTGGAAACCTCAGTTGTTCAGTGCCACCCTTTTTTGTTTTCCCCCTTTTTTGGGTGGCTGCCCCACTAAAAGCAAAAAGTCTTCCCCAAAAAGGGAACTCCCGTTTTTTTCCGGGGTCACTGAACAACTCAGAAGCTTCAACGGGTTCATGTTTCGAGCCTTTGGGTTCGGAAGCCCTCTCGATTTCGATTTCTGGGCGTGTTTTGTTGTTGGGTGCGCTTTGATACTCAACAGGGCAGCCAAATTGAAATCCACCGGACCGGGGGGGGGGGGGGGGTCGCCCCATTTTGACACGCACACTTTTGACGTTGAGTCCGTTCATGTCTTTCATGTGCATTCATGCGGCTGGAATCTCGCTTGCTGAGCTGTACGTTAGTCACTTTGCAACGACCAAAAGGTGTGGCGCCTCCAAGAGGCCAGTCCCCGAAGAGAGGAACGAAGCTGAAACTTTCATGGAAACCAACTAGCAGGGCTACAGAAAAAAAAAGGATACGGTTGAGGAGTCCCCCGTTTGATGCACCTTGACGAAGTTGAAGTTTATGGGCCATGGCGCCAAGTTGGAATGCCCCCGTGCTCCCTCCGCATCCCTCCGTATCCCCGCTTCGTTTGTCCAAAACTTTTGGAGGCGAAGGCCTCCTGGGACCCCTCAAAGAACCACACGTTGGCCAGCGAGGGCCCGTGGCTTCTCCATCCGCCCCGAGAAACGGCGCTCGCGTGTTCTCGGGAAGGCTCCCTTAGCGAGGGAAATGGCGAGTGGCCTAGGCTAGAGTCTCCATGACCCGAAATGAAAATGGGTCCAGGTCCATGACCCCTTAATTTTGGGTGAGGACCCCATTTTTCATATTTTTCAAGGATCATGGAGACTCCAGGTAGTCTGGTGGCAACTGGGACCCTCTCGGCAAGTTTTTGACACCCTGAAAGAGAGGCTTCTCGGCAGTACGGCAACTGGAGCCATGTTTTGCCAAAAGTCTGCGCGAGTTCTCCAATATCCAACACGCTCCACCCCGGATGGTCAAACTACCGTTGAAAATTGGATATCCCCGGCCCCATGTGTTTGGGACAATATCCAACTTTAAAGGGCAGCTGGATCAAAGGGAATCCCCCCTGTCTCAGCCCCCCCTCTCTTGCTGAATTGTTGTGGAGGTTCCGCAAAACAGCAATCGGCTCTAGTTTCCAACCTGGCGTTTCCACTGGCCAAGGTAAAAGGTGACTTATTGGAAGCTGGCGTCCGATCTCGCTTCCGGCTTAGCCACTTATGGCCCCAGGATGAGTTGAGCGAGAGGAAGCCTTACAGGCGAGTCGAGTGGTTTGCTTCTCTCAAAAAAACATCCAGTTTTTCTGCATCGAAGGTCCCACGGATTTGCTTTTCCTCCCGTGGGGGGCCCGGACAAAGACAGACAAAAACAAGAGAAGCAACCCGTCGGCGAGCTCGGCTTGCTCCCTCTCGCCGAGCTTTTCGAATCAACTCGATTCGCCGCCATGGCTGCGGCCGTCGCGACGGGGCGGCGCATGAGCGCCGCGCTGATGAATCCCCCCACGCTGCCTCGCCAGATTTAGCGCAAGCCTTTTGTCAACCATATTTCTGGGCCTTTGAAGGGTGACCACCGCATTTTACCTTTCAACTTTGGCAAGAAGATGATGTCATCAACATGTTTTTGCAGGGCCCGAAAAATCCCGGGATCTGCTCGAAGCGAGGCTGAACCTGGGCCCCACCCTGGAGAACGTGTGGAACCACGCCTGGGAGGAAGCCCCTCCCCCCAGCACGGAAGAGAAGGGCCCGGAGGGAGCCTCGGCACGGGTTCGAAGCTCTCGGGGCGCGCGCGCGCGGATCCGCGGCTTGATCGGGGCGCGCGGATGTGCACCCGGGAGAGAAACATTCCGTCGCACCAAACCACATGGCCTTAGGTGTCAAAACCCAAATCGGTTATCCTGCAGTGAACATCCCAATCCCCACTAGAATAGGTTCTCAAATGGGTGGTGAATTCACCTACCCCAAAATGGTACCATTGGTTTTGACCCGCCGCCACATTGCCGAAGGGGGTGTCAAAAGGACAGACTTTGAGACCCCCAAATTTATCAGGACCCTTATAAGGGATGTCGGTTTTTTTGAGGGGACTCCCCATCAAAATGGTGGTTGAATCTGAACATGTGGTGTTCAGAGCACTTTAACAGCAGCTTTTGATTGCGACTCACTGATCCCGCACTTCTGTCATCCTGAGAGTCGATTCTGGGATGCGGCAAACTTGAGCTCTATGGGGTCTCTTTGGTTTGTTTTATGTTTAGGATATAGACTACGCCCCTACTCCAAATACACGCTTTTTGTAAGGTATCATGTCAACCCTTTGCCAAAAAGGGATGTATTTAATTATTGTGGAAGCCAATGTTTCCAAATACCCTGAAAAAAGCAGGTATTCGGAGTAGGGCGTATGAAGCAGAATCTGAAAGAGCATGGCTTTAATGTAGCGCAGAGGTAGGTCAAGGAAGGAGTGCGTGACACCTGGGGCAAGTTGTGCTCACGCAAGTCCGAAGGTTGATTGCTGGGACGACCAGGTGTTCCGGCAGAGTTCCCTAGATGTCCCTTGAACGCGCCACCACCCCTACCAAGGGAACCTCAACTTAAATGGGCCAGGCGATGATTCCATCCATCAAAAAGGAACACATACTTGGATCTTCGGCCAGGATAGCAAGTTTTGTTGGTAAGCTAGGTTATCTAGGTCCCCCAGTAGTGCCCTTTGACCCTTTTTTTGGGGGAGGGTTCCCCTACTAAAATAGACTACAGCAAAAAAGAGTGATCGGGTACCAACTTCTTCTAACCTCTCAAATCTGGAGGGCCTAGAAGAAAAAAACAACTCCTACAAGTTCCCCGTGCGGGGAGAAAAACCGGGAGTCACACCTCACACGTCGCGCGTGGCCGATGGGTGAGGTGTCACCGATGAGCTGGTGCAGCTGGGCGGCAAGGGCAGAAACCGTGGATCCCTTTAAGTATCTTCCATTTGGCGAAAAGAAGCACGAGAACATTTTCCCGGTTGGTTTTTTAGAGGGAATCGATTTCACCACTGGATTTTTTTTTTTTCCAGGGGGCTTGAGCAAATGGAGGGTAGTCTTTTGTTGCATGCTTGCACAAAACAAAGACTTCCAGCTCACGGGCCAAGCCGCGCTTATGAAAAGTGTTTTTTGTGGATTCCCCGCTTTTTGACGCGAAACAACGGTAGCGTGTTGGGTGTTGGTTTAGAAAAACACACCTGTTGTGCTGTCATTTGTGCTGTGCCAAGGTTCGCTGCCCTTGGCACAAGCAATCCCCGTATTTTGGCTTCAACGTCAGTGTGAGATGTGGGCGTGTGTGTTATTGAGGGTACACTTGTTGGGCTTGTGTTACAGGAACACCAATGGGAAACCCTTAACTTTGGGGCTCCCCTGTTCTAACTTTGGTGTATTTTGCCAAGGGATGTTAGGACTGAACAACTTTTTGCCAGCGAATGGGTTTCCGTATTAAGCCACTAAAAGTGTTGCACTTTCAGGGGAGCAGAAAGCAACCGAGTTAGGTTTGGAGCCTGGGCTTTGAACCCCTTCCGCCAGAAGACACCAAATCACCAAGGGGGAAGCTGATAACAAGCCACCAGCCCAGACACGCGCTCCCCTCGGCTCGTTCCAGGAAGGAGCGCCGCAAGGAGAAGGCGGAGGAACAGAAGAAGATCGATGAGCGACTTTGGCGCAACCTGCTTGGCCCCTCACCCCAAACACCTCACTTGCCCAGACACCTGTTTACCCCCAAAAGCCATTTTCAGGAGGTACTTGGACCCTCTGGCTTGTCCAAAGCCAACCTTTTTACCTTATTGGCTGTGGGTCAAAACCGTTTTGGGATCCCATTTTGGAGTAGGTGAATTCACCACCCATTTTAGAACCTATGTTAGTGGGGATTGGGATGTTCACTGGAGGGGTACGATTTGGATTTTGACCCATGGCCATAGTTCCTCGTTTTGCTTTTGGCCCGTTTTGCAGACTCCAAGTTTTGGTCTATTTTTGTTTTCCTCCCTGGGGATCCGGTCCTCTCCTTTGGAGTGTGAGTGCCAAACGCGCCCTCCCCGTTTTTGTGCAACACCACCCTCTCTCCCACGTTTCATGGCAGACAAGGGGCTCCCTCCATGATGGGAGAAAGGGTAAGTGCTTTGGCCGGAGACGATGGAGTATTTGCCCATCACTATTCTCATGTAAGCGACGAGCCCCAGACCATGGTTGTTGGGCAACGTTTTGCATTTTTGCTTATTTGGGGTTAGTGGGAAATCCCCACTTAACTGCTAAGATTTAAATTTGTTGCTCCCCTTCCAAAGTCAACCAAGTAGACGGTTCTGCTGTTAGGCTTCCCGTCTAACCCAACAAACCACCCCGATCAGACACCTCCTGACGCCGGATTAATAACCCTCCCGCTGGTCAATATGGGAGGTGTTCCCTTCCAAAAGTGATGAACCCTAAAGCAATGGACACCCCCCATATGTTCATGAATGGGGGTTTATGAATCCATGGTTGACCTGACAGTTGGGTAAAAGTGGATGCCACATTTCCCTCATCGGTTTAGTCATATCCTTTACCCACACAAAGGGAATTGCGTCATCTACTTTCAGTCTGGTGTACCTGCCCCCAAAACACCAGGGTCCTCTAGTGTTACCCTGAGAAGAGGCCACTCTCACAAGTCCCGTCCTACTTGACTTTTCTCTGGAGGGGGGATCTGCCCAGCGGTGGCGTTTTGAATACAAATCCCCAAAAAACATCCTGTAAACGCAGGCCGGCACCAAAACCCACCGCTCAAAAGGTCCCTTTCTGCGTTCATTAAAGCTATATCAAAGGTGATAGACCTTCTTGGGGAGAGCCACCAAAATAGGACGCTTCCCGAAGAATCTTCGCCGGCGAAGCTGACATCTGAGGTACGACATCAAGGTCACAATGACGCTTGGCCTTGCAAGTAGGGCTCGACTCGTCGCTTTGCGGACCACCCGAAGGCTCTGATCGGGGCTTGGTATGCAGAACCCGGGACCCGGTCCACGTGCCACACCGCGAGTTGCTCCCAAAATCCAGCAGAACCCTTGGGGCAGGAGCATTTGCTGATTTGCACGCTGAATTCTTTTTGGTCGCCCTGCCGGGCATCCGGCGCTCCAACCCTCTATCACATCACAGGGATGAGAAAACAGTGCAAGTGGTTGATACACACCCTTTGCTACCCCGCAAAACCCGACAACCCTTATCGAGCATGGTTTGGGCAAGATAGACTCAATGGGTGGCTTGTCTTTGCTTTCTTTTCGAAGCCCCAGAAAGGGTACCCTCAAACAACGACACACCTATGTTGCTCAAAATGAAATTGGAGGCCCACGCCCTTGCTTTTTTGAGATCCCTACAACCCCTCCACTGGAGTGTCCTTTTTGATGCGGCACACCTTCCAATGTGCTAGGCAGAACAAAGGTGGCAAGGCCACGGAAATTTACAAGGCTCTCAGAACAGCGCCTCGGCTACAGAACTCGCGATCCGGCCAAATGGGTCCGGGTTCGTTTCCTGAACCAAAAAAAACAGTGACTGGAGAGTTGCCCAGATTTTGTAGCGATATCCAATTGCTTGAGGGTGTGCGTTTTTGTTTTTCTCAGCGAGATGGTGATGGTGTTAAGAATCAAAGAAACGTTGGCATTGACAGGGTCATCGAATCATTCCGTTGGGTTTCTGACAGGCGGATTTGTCCACACACAGAGCAGAAAATGGTTCGTGGGTTTCCCTACCCCAAAATGAGTGCTTGATCCCTGGTTCTTGTAGAGGGTAAATGGGAAACCACTCATTCACCACCAAACCACCAATTCAAACCACCAACTAGAGGGAAGTTGATATTTCTGATACCCCTGCGGGTCCAAACGATAGCGCAGACCCATACTTTACCTTCTCCAGGTCCGCCAGTAGTGCCCTTTCTCACCCTTTTTTGGGGGAGGGTTTCCCTACTAAAATAGACTACACAAAAATAGACTACCCCAAAAGGGTACCTTCTGAGCTCTCCACTGGAGGACCTACTTCTTCTTTTCTTGGGTGTTTCTAACTTGGGGCAGTGGAAGGGAGAAGACTCCTATAGGTTGGGTGACGTTGGAAAGGGAGCTTTGGGGAACACCGAAGCGGACCGCTTCCTTGCTTGGGTCCGTCTAACTTGCTTCAGGTTGGTTCTCAAGGATATTCACCATTTCGTGTTTGGGTTGCCTTCCAAAAACTCTTTGGTAGGGAACCGTTTGAAAGCCATTTGGTTGGACCCAATGGCAACGGAGTATTTCAGGTATCCCCCAAAAGAATCGGCGGATTGCATTGGTTTGGATTTGGATTTGAACCTCTGGTTCTTGTAGAGGGTAAGCCCGGGAAACCGCCCCCCCATCACCAAACCACCAATTGAACCCACCAGTTAGGCAGCTGAAAGCTGACAACCCCTGACTCCTCCAACTTGAAAGTTGGACACTGACGTCGGCACCGCACCTTTAGAGAGCAGAGCGAAGTTGGGCGAAGTTGGGTGATTTTCTCCTCCTCTTTTCTGAATTTTCGTTGGAGTTGAACCCTTTCAACAAGAATATTAACCCGTCTCATTCTTAGGGGGGTGTTCCCTCCAAAAGTGGTCTGAATCCCCACTAAAAGGGGACACCCCCTATTAATCAACCAGGGGTTTATTAATCGGGGTACACATTACTTACATTGGGATTTGTGTCCACCAATCACTTTTGAGGCGGTGCAACAAATTGACCCGCAATCAACATCTGGGTAGATGAAGGTTAGTATAGGGCAGCCACAGCCAGAAATAGGTGCGGCCATCCGCTTTTGGATTGCCTCTGGACTTGGGTAGGCCCCTTTTGGATGGGTTTTGGTTGTGACGCAGATGTATTGGATGTACGGAACCTCCAAAGAGCCAGCCACCATGGGCTGTTGGGAGGCCGGGAGCACCAGGAGTTGCCAAGCTCAGGATGTAGATCCTCGACTTGGGGGGTCCATTTGGGTGCGTCGTTTGCACCCTTGTGGGTGGCTTTAAAAGGAAACCAAACAGCAAACCTCCAACTTTCTTCCGGGTGTCCCAAGAAAGGACTCGCTGATGTCTAGCTTCAGGCTTTGGAAGAAACAACAATTGGTCTGGCCGCATAGTATTATCAAGGCCGCCGCCGAAGTGGTAGGTCAAAGCAAACACCCCCCTTTCACTGACTTTGACACACCCCCTAGAACACAGTCCACATACTGACCGGAGTTGGTGAGGTTTCTCATTTTTTTTGCTTCGGCCGGTGCAAGTTCCAGGAATGTTAATCACCTGCCTTTTTACATTTTTTCGGGAACCAACTGCACCAGCCCGATTGAGTGAGTAGCTTCCCTCCGAGTGGTGGTTTAAATTTTGGTGGCTTGGTGGTTAGGGGTTGTTTTCCATCTACCCTCTAGGGGCACCTTCCAGTTCCATTCTTTCCAGGGATCCGGATCTTTCTAGAAGCCCTCCGGAAACCCAGTTGGACAATAGCCATCGGTTTTCGAAACGAACGATGGCTGAAAAGAATGGGAAAGGAGTCCGCGGGTCCAAGAAAAGGACACAACGAGCCACGCCTTGCCCAGAACCCCAACCAGTTCAAGGGCATGCGGCTGGTGCTGCACCAGTGGATCTCCTGGCGGCCTGACCAGAGCTTTTGTTGAAGCAGGGTTGTGGGATCGAGCCTGGGCTAGACTTAGGATACAGTTTGACATTTTACCAGTGACTCCATGTGAAGCAAGCAATAACAGATACATTCAATAACCGGGCCTAACTCTAATGATGAAGAGGTTTTTGTCCAACCGCTTCTGTGATACAAGGGAATCTTCCCTTTTGTATGGTGGAATATGGTATATCCAACCACTTCTGTGATACAAGTTGGAATCTTCCATTTTATATGGCGGATCAGTGGCACCCTTTTTCCCTTTTTTTTTGGTGGCTGCCCCACTAAAAATCGTCTTCCCCAAAAAGGTTTCCCTTTTTTCCAGGGTCACTGAAGAACCGAGTTGCTAAACAACAAAACACGGTACGGCTGTCTGCTAAACACAATAAAAAATAGCACGGTACGTCGCACAAGCTGCCAATAGGTGGTACGTCCAGGTTCTTAACCTGCCCCCTAGATCCAGAGTAAGCCGCTATATGGCTGTGGATCAAACTACCGGTGCCAAAATGGAACCCTGGTAAGTGGAAACATGGACCAAAACCTGCGTAACCCCTCCTGTTTAATTTTGAGCCGCACCCATGTGTAAGCTCTTCAGGCGAAAGGGAGCCACCATGACCACATCTTGTTTAGCGCCCGCACGAAAAATGCGCTTTGTCCCATCTGCCATGCCAGCAAGGATTCCTCGGACTTGGCATTGGGACGAGAACGGTGCCCTTTGGGGTTGTCAACAAGTTTGCCTAGGTCCCCCAGTAGTGCCCTTTCTCACCCTTTTTTGGGGGAGGGTTCCCCTACTAAAATAGACTACAGAAAAAAATAGGGTACTAACTCATTCTATCCTTTCTACTGGAGGACCTAGTTGTTTAAGCCCATGCTTTTACCAGACTTGTTGCTTTTGAGGTGATGCTTCAAGCCCTCCAAAAAACCCGACACGCAGTCACAGACACGAAATGGGATGCTTGGAGGACATCAAGAGAAACCGCCCCTCGCATTCTGGGGGTCGTTCCTTTTTTTTGCGAACCCGTCCATCATGCTGGCAATCGGAGGCTTTGGAAGACTACTTTCCTTTTGGGGAAGCCTCCAAGAGATGTTCGTGGCCAAGTTGGTCAGTTGTAACGGGAACCTTGGCTACCCACTTCTATTTGTCGCCGTGAATGTGAGGGGGTGAGAAAACCAAAGTGGTGACACAAACTTGGCTGGCCGAACATCCATGTACCCTTTTTGCTCAGGGCGAATTAGCTCCTTGGGTGCACCTGCTTCTACCACCTGGGCTGTCAGAAACTCCTCCTTCCCCTGCGAATCTCTTTCCAACGGCTCTTGAAAAGGATATGGTTAGCTCCCTTCCTGCATTTTCTACACCGTTTTGGCCTTGTCATCCAAGTACCCTTCTTGATTGGAGGGTTTACAAGTTTCCTTGTCGGTCGAGGGTACCTAGGAATATCCTAAGGGAAACCAAAAGCCATGGGTCCAAGAAAAAAGAGACACCCACATTGGTTTTGGGGAGCACCTCCAAGGCACTCCGCAAGATCCTTGGGTTGCGCAAGGATCCCTCTTGTAGTATCTTGCAGCGGTTTCCCACTAAGGATGAAACGGATTAAGGGAAGCTTTAAGTAGCAATGTGGAGTTCTGAGCGCCGTACGCCATTCTGCGCTCAGGTGGGGCTTCGACACTGCCATTGGGGTGATCATCATGGTGAACGCCATCACCATCGGAGCCTCGGAATTGTTGTTTTTTTTTTGTTTGTTTTTTTTCCCCAGCCAAAGCTCCGAGGCGTTTCGCGGCTTTTTCTCTCACTTGCCCAAAGCTGACCTTTGGACCTTCTAGACCCCCTGTTCGGTTCGTACTCCCTTACTTACATGCTTGTGTTGGATCATGTATGGGGTCTTTTTAAGGGGGGTCACAAACTTTCCTATTGTGCTGACATCTTCCGGAAGAACACTGCCCAGGTGACAAATGTATCCTGCTACGGTGTAAGATGACTTGACCATCGCCAGGGAAAAAACGGGACATGGGTACCTCCATGTACCAGCTATATGGCTGTAATATCCCAAGAAGCGTGGAGGGTAGCTTCGGTTTGGGTGGTGGTCATCGAGGTTGGAAAGCCCTAGCAACCGTGGGTATAACCCACTTGTGGTTCGTACAACCCTGGCTTCGACGGGTAGTCATGGTTGCCCAACTGCCTACATGACGCACCCCGTTGGCGCCCAATCGTGCTGTTTAAACATGCAGACTAGCCCCCTTTTTGGCAGTTCAAAACCAGTGGATTACGAAAGGATTGGTCCCCTTTGCAGTGGTTTCCCAATATCGTGGATTAGGATTGGCCAACCAAGACTGCATTCTACACAGCCCAACTCGCCATATTGAAGGGTATCAACAATTGTTTCAGCAATAGCCGTTTAAACCATGGTTCAAGGGTTTGGCGACTTTACTTGCCCTAAGCCAAGTGGTGCCATCTACTTCCATGTAGTGGAAATCATAGGTTGAACCGCACGTTAGCCTCGTTGCTTGTTTGTTTGTTGGTTGGTTGTTTGCTGGTTGGTTGGTTGGTTGGTTGGTTGGTTGGTTGGTTGGTTGGTTGGTTGGTTGGTTGGTTGGTTGGTTGGTTGGTTTGGTTGGTTGGTTGGTTGGTTGGTTGGTTGGTTGGTTGGTTGGTTGGTTGGTTGGTTGGTTGGTTGGATTGTTGGTTTTGCTTTTTCCCCAGGCTTGGAGACGCAGATCAAATCCTCAGTGCCCTTGGGCTGTACTGACACCTGCGATTGCAGCAACCAGATCTACAAGGAAGAGACCTGCCGCTCGATCTTTCGAAAACAAATTGCTTGATCTCCTTCAAAGTTTGATGGCGTCTTCAGGTTCGTGGACCAGACTCAAGCTCCGCATTTTTGTTTACCATGTACCTAGCTCCGCATTTCTTCATGGACCAGACTCAAGCTCTGCATTTGTTCGGCTTAAAAGCTGCGCATTGATTCACCACACGCCAGACTCAAGCTCCGCATTTTGGGTTCGGGACCTTTTGGCAGGCTAGTTTTGCGGAATTGGGTCGGGTGGCTTTATGCTTGGCTGAGCAGTATGATCGGACGCAACCGATTTTGGGGCCTACCCAAAGCCGATCCCCTTCCCCCATATGGGCAACTTGGGTCCGCCTGGCTTTGTGGAAAACCTGGGAAGTTGCCCAACAGTAGCCGAATGGGGAGTGGCCAACGTTCCGGACGGATCAAAGAATGGGGTGGACTGCAAGCCAAATAGCTGAAGATGGGTGAAATGTTCACAATCATGAGTCATGAGTCATGAGCCATGAATTTTTGGGAGGCTATAGCCACCTCGGCCAGGACTTGATCAATCCGACTTTCCAACTCGCATGTCTCTGTGATTGGGAAGGCCGTTTCTCCCCTTGAAGGCGAAGCGCTTGCCGCTCGCGTGTGTTTGCGCAGGTTGGGTCCAGTGGGGTTTTGGTTGCGGGCAACGGCTGCGGGATTTGGTTGGCGGCTGGGATTTCGGAGTGGGATCTGTTGGGATACCACCGGCTTGGGACGTTCAAGCTCTGGTTCTTGAACCTGGGCTTTGCGCCCCAGGAACACCTTCCCACCACCAAGCATCACCAGTTCGAGAGCTGAAATTGATCTCTAAGAAACCTATGGGCAATTCTACGGGAAATCCTTGTTTTTGGCGAGTGCTTGGCCAACTTCTGGTCGAACAAAGATCCTGCACGTCGATCGCGTCGATGGATATGTTTTCGAAGGTGAAACGCCACCAGACTGGACATCAATGTTGGACTATGCCTTTTATGGCGTCTATGCCTCTTGGCGAACAAAAAGACCGCGGGCCGAAGGATGCAACATGCTTTTGACCATGGCCAGGTGAAAGGGTTGGAGTGCGGAAATCGGAAGACCCCCCAAAAAACCTTTCTTTTTGTTTCTTCGGACGTCCCTTTCGACGCGTTTCCCCAGAAATACACACATCTATATGTGCCATGGTCAACCGGTTCCTTGGTTTTTCTCAACCTCCTAGGATCAGAAAGTCATGGGCCATGGCAGTTTTGAGCAATGGCTCCTCATATTGGAGCCGCGTGTTCCGCGGGTTTCCAACCACTGAGGGGTTGGACATCAAAAACGGAGCTCCACAGCCCCAGTTTCAAGTTCGCATGTTCAAATCATGCCAAGTGCTGTCAAGTATTCATCGGTTCCGTAGGGTGGACACAGCCCGTATACAATGTGCTGCTGGATCTTGCGGTGGCACCTTGGAAAAAGGTGCCACCAAAAATGCAAAACTCGTGGGGCCTGAATGCTGTTCGGTACCCTCTGGCCAAAAGCACCGGCACGGCGGTTTCGGTTTTGGCGGGGTTTCGCCGGGACTTCCTATTTGGAGACTCAAGGGAAAGATGAGAACGAGCTGGAGGCGGTTGTAAAACACGATGCCTCAACTTAAAACAAAAAAACAAAGGGTGTTGCAACCATATATTTTCTGCGCACGGGAAAGTCCTTTCAAGGCAGCTCATGTGGCTTTCAATCTGTTTTTTGGCAGTTCACATGGCGTCCTTCAAACTTTTCGCGTCCGAAAGTCGCGCCTTGGCCACGCGAAGTCGCGGCTTTAGATGCAAACGGCTCCAGGAGTCGCTCTACCCTCCGTTTGAGACATGTGGCACCCCTCAAGCAAGGCACCGGATTTTCCGTGAGTTTTGGGGGGCAACCAGAGCACGTAGCTTGCTTGCTGCCGCAATCGGTAGGGATGTGGAATTTTCACCCAGTCGCCTCACAGGAAACGAAAAACCAGTTGGCCCTGGGAATACTTTTATGGGAATACACCCACTGGGCATTGACCCGATTTAGGCACATTTCCGGATACAAACACGGTGAGTTTGAAGCATTCTGGGTCATCTCCCATGTAATCCCAGGGTGGAATACCAAGAATCCCTCAGACCTGTTGGCCCCCGCCGAACCCGAGTTCCAGCAAGGTAGTGGAGCTGCTCATGCGCGTGGGAGTTTATGGCATCTTCGTGTTCAAGAGCCATTGGGCCCCTTGGCGAGTCTTCAGGAGCTTCAGTTGGATCCCAGGCGTTTCGGAGCCAACATGAGGGAACTGTTGTTTCTTTTGAGTTTAGAGGGGCGTTTGTTTTTGGCTACTTTGTATACAGGGAGATTTGGGCGCATGTTGAGGGATTCTGCGCGGTCTGGTCCATGAATCCGTCCCCCTTGGCTTGGACTGGATGTATTTTTCTGGCATGAAAGTGGTTTATCAATCTTTTCTATGGCTGTCAAGATTCTGTGGAAGTTGCCGGCCCATAGTGGACCCCTTGTTGGACCTTTTGCCATGCAGGGGGGTCCTTGACGACCAGAAAGATCTTGACCGGTTCAATTGTTGACAGAGTTTGACCTGTGTCACTGAGTGTTTTGGCATTTCAGCAGGGTGCTTCTGTCAGATGGTTGATCTAGAGGTCATTTGACTTGTTTGATGAACGCAGTTTGATGACTGCTATCTAGACTCTCCTCCAAATCTGCTTTCCCTTGTAGCGTCAAGGTTTTCGGGACCTTCAATGACTGGTCGTTGTCCCAATCGAGCAGTGTGCTGAGAAATGAGAAGCTTTTCGCAAAAACATAAAAGAAGCAAAGAAAGAAGGAACCACAAAAACAGTGCCGCGTTGCCTTTGAAGCATCTTCGGGGGTCTCGGCACCTTGCAGCACCTTGCAGCTTGCAGGGCGCCAAAAGAATCCGGAGCTTCAGTCTGACCATTTCGTTTGGGCAAAGCTCTCCACGAAGGCGCAACCCGCAAATGGACCGCACATCTTGCAAAGTGGGTTGCTTCAGCAGGGTCTCAATCCAGATAATGTCGATCCAGGTATAGGGCAGAACACATCAAGCTCGTTGCCTGTCACGGAAGACAAGCGCCTTCAAAGACAGCCACGACCTTTTTGTTCCACGGGGATCGGCCGCTTTGATTCCAAAGCTCAGTCCAAAGAGCCCATACTGGCTCAGTCGGCCACTCTTGCCAGCTCGCAAGTGGAGCCATCGCATCCTCATAGTGATGAATGCTGACTACTTAGGGGCTATGAGGACCGTTGAGATCCAGCGACCGCAGGATTCCTCCCCTTGTTATGGCTCTAAATCAATACGAGTGTGTCTCTTTTCGAGGGAAGCCTTTTTGGTGGATTCAAAGGGAAGCCGAAGAGAGAACCATTCCCGGGCTCTAAAAGAAGACAGACCCATGGGCAATGGATATGTTCAGAAGGGAACTCACATGCAGCGACAGACAAACTAACAACCAAGTCTGCAGTGGGATGCATGTTGAGTCCCTCTAAGACTCTGAAAAAGGGCCCAAATGATCCCAGATCTCCAAGGCGACGGAATCTTATGGAATTTTAGGGAACCCTCAGGAACCTAGGGCTACGTACCCACCCCCTGGTACCCCCTTAGGAATTCCAGAAGCAAACCAATCATCGGAGATTTGCTCCCTCGGTCTGAGGTGACTTCCTCAAAAGCGATTCGGGTAGAAGGTTAGTAAGGGATCCCAAAGATAAATGGGTGCCCTCAACGCCTGGGTGGGGCAAAATATGGCTTAATCACCACCTTGACAAGGGAAGAGTCATCATAACCAGTGGTTTAAGCATGTTTAAACCAATGGGTGGCCGCTCCCTGTTCAACGCCGGCTGTTTAAGTCTGATCACATGGTTCCGGGGATCCACCGTTTTGATATGACGCAGGTGATGCCCAGAACCAGGCTGTCTTAAATTCATCACCTGAGTCATCACCTGAAGTCATCTCCCGGAAATCGATTTTGACTTGGTGGCTCCCAGCCGTCCGGTCTTTTGGCTTTTTAGCCTTTTAGTGTTTAGTGGTTGGATTTGCATTGCACCCACTAAAAGTTTGTCAAACTTTTAGTGGGGGATCTGAAAATGGGCAGCGCAGCTTGTGTTTTTTTGACTCAGGTGAAGTTCGACTTCTTCTTGGTCCTCACCGCCACGGTGGCACCTTGGGGCAGTTTTTGTCATCGCTCCGGCGGAACTCTCATCCATGGCTTCTTTTTTCCCATGTGAGTGTGTGTGTGTGTGCGTGTCTCAGTTTTTGTCAGCTACCCCTTTTCGATTGTTTGATCTAGAGACCAACCCAACTGCAGAGCCTGATGCAACTGTTGTGGGGATTTAGGGAGAAAGGGTGAGGCCCCTCAGGCGGCCCAGGCACCTCCTTCCGGTTGAGCTGGTTGAGCTGGTTGGGGGAATGAGCTGGTTGAGCTGGTTGGGGGAATTGGGATTTGGGGGGAATTGTCTGTCCTGCACCTTGGCAGCATAGGCGTCCTTATTAGGTTTGGTTAAAAATAGATGGCACTGGTTTAGATGGGATTTGTTCCATTTACCAGGGCAATCCATCTATTTTGCCAAAAGGACACCTATGCTTGGCAGTGTCTTTTTCCATCAGTCTGCCACCAGAAGTTTTCGGGGTGAGACTTCTCTCACGCGGCGGGCCCGGGCCTGGAGGTTCCAGGGTTTGGTGAATATTTCGGGTTGGGGTGGTTGAGGTGGGTGGTTGGGATCACAAAGGGTACCTTTCTGTCCCTTTGAGGCGTTTTGCCACGGAGACTAGGGTAATACATATATACCGGCAATTGTTCTTGCGGCAGCGTGACCCTCCTTGGTCGCCGGGAAATAAAGTCACTGCGCGTGATATTAAAGGAATCTCCTTGATGTGCTGGGCGGGGGTTTCCGCATAGCTTCATGGTTCTTGGCTCGTCAAGTGTTTCCTTTGTTGTTTCTTGCTTCGCGTTCTTTGTTGTTTTGTTCAAGCGTGATATTGTTTGGATCAGTCAATTGCTTCTGTCATCGCGTTGAGTGACTTTCGCCAGACAACATCTGGTCCAAGGAGCGACCCAATGGTGGATTTCCTTGCTTGGCGGCTCCTAGCCATTTTTCAAAATCCAGCTAGGAAACAAACTAAGCATGTGCACCCTCCAAATGGGTGAAATGTTGGATACATGGATTGTTCTTTTTAGACTTTTCGAGCTTTAGCTTTGGGGATGTGTATCCAACAGTCTGGAAGCCTCCTCAGAAACCCTGGAAAAGAATCGGGAAGCTACCTCTTCCGCATCCCAGGTGAGGGGTTGAAGAAAGACCAAAGTAGTCTCAAGATTCACGCCTTTTTTTTCAGACGAACCTGGCAGCTCGCCTGACAATTCAACCAAGTCTTTCCTCCGCGGTCTTGGGAGCTTCCATGTTTGGGGGAGGGTATCAAGTCAGTCTTATGGGATGTTGATCGAGAGGACGTACTATGATGACCAACCCCCAACCTTGGACGGGAAGGGAGGAATGTTCACCCTCGATGTCGGTACCCCCAAAATGGCGGTTGTCCTGGGAGGGCTTACTGGTTTCTCAGAGGAAACGCATAAAGGACAGGTTTCTCAGGAGGGACCCTGCTATTTTTCCCTTTGGTGTCCCTTGAAAACAAGCCCAAAACAGATTCCCTCCACAAAAGCTTGCTGATTTTCCAGCAGGGAATGAGCGAATGAATGCCATGAACAATCCACCTGGTGGTTTTCCTTTCTGGAATGGGTGTGGCTCAAAATTAAACAGGAGGGGTTACGCAGGTTTTGGTCCATGTTTCCACTTACCAGGGTTCCATTTTGGTACTGGTTTTTTGAGCCACAGCCGAATACCAGCAAGAACCTATCGCCCGCCAAGTCTCACTTCCCGAGCTCCTGGTTGCTTTAGTGAGTCACTGTGAGGTTTTTTTCGGGTGTGGTTTCCATTTTTCAGTGGTCTACCCAAAAAGCTCCTGGTTACTTTAGTCACTTTTTGGGTAGACCACTCTAGTGGTAAACAAAGTGACTCAAGTCCAAACCACTTTATGGGACTAGGAGTCCAAAAGGGCTGAACTGTCACTTTTTCGTTGGTTTTAGTCACTTTTCGCGTTGGTCAACCAAGTCTGGTGACTTTCTCGGCATCCACTCAATGGGGGTCTGATCGTCGGGAGCGATCTGGATCTCGATCTCAGGATCTCTTCGTGAAGGCGGTGTCCCAGGCAAATGCCTGGGCCCTCGGAGACTCCAAGCGCTTTTTTTTCCCGAAATCAACATGTTTTTTTTGGGGGGAAGCAACCCCAGTGGTTTGCTTCCTTGAAAACATATTAATATATAAATTATATATATATATATTATAAAGGATATGCATAGATATATGTGGAGGGGGGTAAAATCCCCCTTGAAAACTCACTTGCCCAAAGTGAATCAACTTGAATTGACCTTTTGGGTTGAACTATTTTTAGTCGTTCGGTTCCAAAAGGTGCCCCTTTGGGGCCTTTGTGAGAAAATCAACCAAGTAAAGAGTGCGTGTTGGTTAGCTTTTTCCCACGGGTCCCGGAAGTGAATGACTGTTTTTTTGTTTTTGTTTGGGCCAATTGACAAACACAGAAAAGTTGTAGTTTGTAAGTCCTGAAGGCGAATTTGAATGAATATCGTAGCTCAACATTCCATTGACTTCCCCGATTCGAGTTTCGGGTTAACCCAGAAAGGACTCTCTGAGCAAGTTACATGGCGACTCAAAGGTTTTGGCTCATAGCATTCATTTTTTGATTTCTTTGACCCGACCCTGTCAGAGGAAACCTGGTCTTCCAACCGAGTCAGGTTCCGCGTGTGCGTACTTCACTCACCCAGCCTGGGATTCGGGTGGCCCGCGACACGCGCCAAGGTGAAAATTCTTATGCTGGTGCGCATGCTGCGCTTGGCTCGCCTAGCGAGAGCTGTCCGCCTTATGGCCACTTGGTTGAAAACACGGCGCCTGCATTCTTGAATCATGGTTTTCAGATGATCCGTTCATTTTTCAGAGCTGGAGGGAAGTTGTTGGCCCAGATGCCGGTGAGAGGGTTGCTTTCAGGTTTTGAATGGAGCTGTAGCCAGTCAGCTTTTGGCCGCCATACATGTCCAGGAGGACTGTGAGCGCAAAAATTAGGGACTTCCAGCCACGGTCTTTGGATCACTTTGAGCTTTAGCTTCCCTTTCCTGCATACTTGTACTCCTCTCTTGCCCAGTGGATTCCGCCCTTTTTCCTTTTCTTGGGTAAGGGTTCCCTGCTAAACTCAACCAACCAAAAAAGGATGCCGATCCTTTTTTCCCCATGGAAATCCACTGGGCATCTGAGTGTATCCCCGCAAAGCCTTGCCTTTGAACGCGCCTTTCAAAGCCAGCTTTGGCTTTGAGCCTAAAAGTGGGAGTGTGTCAGTCTACCCTGAAATTGGGGGCTCCCTCTTCCATATGTTCAAGGAAAACCTGGTCAATCTGAGTTGACCTGGGACATATGAGGCGCCCCCTTTAAAAATCACCGGACTTCTGGAAGACCCCCCCCGTCCCTGGACTCGCTGGAAAAAAGCTGTTTCACACGGTGCCCTTCAGTTACGCTTGCAAAAAAAAAGTTTCAAGTCCAAGCCTCTCAACCTCCAAGAAGCCCAGCTGACCTCCTCATATCTGTTTCAGGTGGACCCGACCCCAAAAGCAAAGCCCACGCTGACCTCGGCATATTTCAAGCTCTGCGAGTTGTCGCAGATCTGTTTCAAGTGGACCTCAAAAACAAAGTTAAGTGTCCTCCGCAGATTCCAAGGCCTCCTGTTTTCGCATCACTTCTCTTCCTGAGGTGCAGTTCAAGACACTCTGGCAGCTAGTGCAGGGCCTCTTCCATAGCCGCTCGACGCTTCGGACGCTTCCGATTCAATCGGATTCGCGCGCGTTCAACGAAGGCCCCCCTCAAAAAGGGGCTCAAATCACCGTGTGTGTGTCTTGTGAGGCTACCCTTTTTGGGTTGGTTGGGAAGCCAAAAGGAGACCAACCGACGGATCGAAGTAGAACCATTGATTCATTGGATTCGTCACGCTCTTGGCGGGAGTTGAAGCCCTTGGAGCCCTAAGCTCCGAAGATGGACCCTCAAACTCGCCCCGAATTCTGTGGCAACCTCCCCTTAAGGGTAGCTTGACCCTGTTCAGAGGGGTGTGGGTCAATATTAAATCACCAGAGGATCGCAGATTTTAGTCCATGGTTCCATTTACCAGGGTTCCATTTTGGGTACCTATTTTTGACCCACAGCCATATATGAACATGTCTCAGCCCAAATAGGAAACATCCGGTTGCCAACTATGGTTCAACAGCCCCATATAGTTCCCTTAAGACATCACCACCAAACTGAAAGTCACTTTAAGCTGTCCCAAATGTTGATGTGGAAAGAATCAAAAAGCAGGAATGATTAGTCGGACTTCTGATTGAGGGGACCTTGGAACCCACAACCCCATGTTTGCTGGGGGGCCCCCGCTAACATATTCTGTGTTTAATGCCTTGGAGCCCGCGCCGTTCCTAAACGATGTCCTGTGTTTCCCTTGACCCAAGCTTCTAGCAACTTGGGCCAATTAGATCTTGGTGGTTCCCAGCCATGCGGTTCCTTAGCTTTTTAGATCCTTTTGGTGTTTAGTGGTTGGATTTCCCTTTTTTCCCCTACAAGTTCGTCAAACTTTTGGCGGATCTGAAAACGGGCCCAGTCTGATAGGCAGGTCTTGGGTCTTGGGAACGTGCTTCTTTAGTTAAAACAAAGCACCTCTTCACTGCTCCGAATGGCCTTGGCATGCTGAGGCTTGGGCACACTATTGTGGACCTTCTTATTGATTAGCATACTGATGTATGTGGGCGCCATCGTCGGCATGGAGCCTTGGAGTTTCACTTTCTGACTTTTGCCACCGGGGGAGAGCGTGGGGTTCAGCCGGGCACTTGGGTGTTCGATTCGCCGAGTGAGTAAGTTGTTGGCAAGATAGGTTACGAACCGCTTACAAGTTCCCTAAAGCGGAGCTCACCTTGGTATTTGGCGGTGGCTCAAAAAGCCAGAATTCCAAAATGGGTTACCCTGGTAAGTGGAAACATGGCTGCCGAAACCTGCGGTTTGCCCCTGTTTAATTTTGAGCCACACCCATTTGGCGACCAGTGACTCACCACTAGCTTGGAACATCCAAGCAGCTTTTTGGGCTCGGTGAACCGGCAGTCTGGCTGCTTGGCTGCTTACCGCCAGTGGCGAGAAATGTGGATGACGCTTGGGGCTCGGCTCCGACTCTTTTTCTTTGCCCCACCACATGGTTTTCCTTTTTGTTCCTTGGAACCCAGAAAAAGACACACCCATGTTTCTTATATATATATATATACACGGTATAACGGCCTAACTTGTTAAACCAAGTTAAGCTATCAGAAGAGAAGTCGGCAGTGTTCCTGGTTTCATAAGTAAAAGGGTGTCCCGAACTATAAAACCTAGAAGTCGTAAACCGCTGGTTGCATAGGTGTCCTTGGTTGTTTTGGCAGAAACTAGATGGCGATTTCTGGATGACTTGGTTGAATCAGAATCTCCCAGCGAAAATCCAGGTGTTTCTTTGTCCCAAAAGGACACCTGCTGGATACCTATAGTGGCTTGCAACCAGGATTTGGTTACACTTTGGTTTCCTTTTAAAACCACCCCAAGAAAGGTGTCCTCCACCTTCCGGCTGCTGTTGGTTTCTTTTTGGAACCCCCCAAGACTTGAACCAACAAGTTGGGCCATTTTTAAAGTCACCGCAATCGGATGGATCAATCTCAAGGTCTCCATGACCCTTAAGAAATGGAGTCATTGCCCAAAATAAAGGGTCATTTACCTATTTTTAAAGGGTCATGGGGACTCCAGGTCCATTTGGGGGGCTTCCCTATAAAAGACGAAGACCTGTCAGCGTCCTCTGCGAAGCAAAAACACATCCCGAGGAGTTCATTCGCCTGGACCCGGATTTGCCCGCGGACAGCCCGTACAACAAAGCGGTAGGCGGCGAGAGAGAGATAGAGACTAGGTCCCCCAGCAATTGGTGCCCTTTTTCACCGTGCCTTTTTGGTTTGGGAGATTCGGTTCCCCTACTAAAATGGGCTACCAACTTTTCGTACCCTTCTAACCTCTCGACTGAAAAAACCTGGGGGAGAGAGAGAGATCCGATCAGACTGCCTCGACCATCGTTCTGTTCAATCAGCTGTTTCCCCCGGGTTTTGATGGATTCTTGAAAACAAGGATCCCTGAAAAGAGTGGGGAAGCTTCCCATAGAACTGTGGATGGTTGCCCTCCCTCTACTTCCACTTGCTGAAGCAAATATGTCTTATGTCTCCCTGCTGATTTTACAGGGAATCTATCACTACTGGACATATTTTTCCTTTTGGAGACTTAGGCATAATTGCAGCATAATGGAAGTCTAACATGGCACTTTTGGGAGGTACCTGGAAGATTCATTGCCTTTTGAAGGGACCCCCTGTCAGGTGCTACAGTATGGCAACTTGAGAGGGAGGGTACCTCACTTGCAACCAAGCCAAATCCACCTTTTGACCTTGTATCTTCCTTTTGGTTGGCCGATTTTTAGTCATGCCCCCCAAAAAGATTGTTTGTTTTTCTCTTTGGGCAACTGAGAAGCCCGATCATACTGTGGATGGTTGCAAAAGTTCATGGCGATCCGCACCAGTTGGGATGAATGAACTCTAGATTGGGACAACCCAGCTGCACCGCCCATTCCTCAGTACGGCATGGGTGTGGGTCGAATAAGGGGAATCACCACAAGTGGGGTTTCCCTTGATTCAATGGGTTACAGGACATTCTGCAGGAACGCATCTTATTTACAGTTTTTGGAGCATGTCCTGTAGGTTTTCCTGTAACAAAACCCTTTGATTGATTACCCTTTGACCAAACTGAAAGGTGCACTCTTTGATGTTAGTTTGGTTGAAAGAGAGGGAGTTCAAGAAGCGACAGGGACTTTTTGCTTCTGCAATCCAAATGGGTGTGTCGTTTCAGGGTTGATTTTGGTTGATTCCAAGGTGGAATTAGAGCTACTGTGGGTGGACGAAATCCATTTCTCACCACCTAAGAAGCCCTGGAATGATTGGCTTCTCCTGCAAATACCAACAAACAATGGTTTCAGCCATTGTGTCAAAGTGATGCGAACAGATTTTGTCCATCCACAGTAGGGATATCCCCACCCCCTGAAACATAGAATTGGGGGGCCACGTATGTTCCCCCTGACTTGGGCTACGTTTCTTGACCGCAAAAGGTGCGCCGTTGGGGAAAGTCAAGCATCCCTAGATCCGAAGAATGGTGGGGGGGGGTCCGTAACCCAATTCTGTTTATCTAGCGTTCCGCATAGGAATTTCTGGCTTGCGAACTCCATTGGTCGAACTCCCTCCACTCAAAGCAACCCAACATGGCGACTTTGGTGTGACCGTCACGGGGAAAGGAGCAACCCAAAGGCCGCAAACTCCCCAAAGACGCGCCCGAAATGCTACCTACACAAACGGCTTGCCTGGGAGCCGCACGTGAGAGGACCCTCTTTGGTTGCTTGAAGGTGTCCATTTAACAGAAATCTATCGATTGAGCACCCTTCAACCATCAAACTTGGCAGTGCACGGGAGCCCCTTTCGAAGAAAAGGTGCTCTTGCAGAAAGCCTCGGTGCAGTTTCTATGTGGCCATGGGTCAAAATCCCAATCCTAGTGAACATCCCAATCCAACCACTAAAATAGGTTCTAGAATGGGTGGCATCTACCCCAAAAGTTCCACAGCCATGTTTGCTGTGTCGGATTCCCAGAGCCCACGAGGATTTGGGTGGATTCACACGCGACTGGAGAGGTGCAAACTTCGTGGAGTTTCTGGATGCCGTGATGACGATGCTGCAAATCTTTAGCTCCCCGGCCGAGATAATGGGATCCAACCTTCCCCCCCCCACCATTTCCGTAGTCCCGTTTCCTGGAATCGGCTGGGACCCTAACTTACGGCCGGGTGACGGTGCTTTTTGGAGCTGTGGCTTTTTTTTGCCAGTTTGACATAGCGGGGACCGGGCAGAGGGACATTCTCGAAGCTGTGCAGCGCGCCTCACACGCGCGGGTCCAAGCTTGCGGAAGTTTTCGGAGGGGATTTTTTTCACGGAAGGTTCACGGGAGCTTTCTTTCTTGCAACGAAATCGTGTTTCCTTTCTGAATACTTGTGGAAGCAACACTTGTACAACATCCGCGGAAGGACTGGGAAGCAAACGATGAAAATGATGTACCGTCGAACTTCCGCGGAAGAAACCCTGCTAGCCCGCGGTCAATGTGCGGAAGAGTCCGAAACTTGCTTGACCATTGAACAATATCCAATCAACTTCAAGGGAAATCAAAACTACCGCTCATTTGGCCGTGGGTCAAAAATAGGTGCCCAAAATGGAACCCTGGTAAATGGAGCCAAGGACTGCCCTTGCTTGTTTAATTTTGACTCATACCCATTTGGAGAAAGCCAGGAGAGGCAGGATTACGTGAGGGGGGCTGATTCTCTGGAAAGAGTTTGGGAAGCGTTTGCATGAGCTTGTTTGCTTGGACCGAAATAGCCTGTCAACGGTTTTGGAACATGGCCGTTTCCCACTAGGGGCCAGTTCGATACTCTGCAATTTAACATGGAACCCCCTTTTTTGGTGGTCTGCCAGAAGGAGCTCCCTCTACAAATGACAGGTCTTTCGAGTTTCAGAGCCATGGACGCAGGTTTGGACAGTATCGGCGCCATCTACAAGCCGCTGATCAAGCACAAGTTCTTCCTGCGCCTTGTTTCAAAGTGAGGGAACACCAAAAATCCTGAAATGCTTGATCCAATCCAAGTTCAGAGTCACAATCGAAGCCTGGTATATATAGGAAGAGCCTTCGACCAAAAAACATGTTAAAGCAATCCGATCAGCTGGGTTTGTCTCCAAATGGGAACCCACAAGCGAACACCCACAAGGGAACCCACAAGGGAACCCACAAGGGAACCCACAAGGGAACCCACAAAAGGGCGGTGTCCGTGTAGTTTCCCTTGCTCGGAGTTTCGCTTGGGTTGGAGTTTCAATCCCACCGAGCGTGGCTGCCAGAGAAGGACACACTCAAAATAAGGAAGACATGACCAAGCCATTCGGTCATTCTCGAATTCATGGGCTCACTGACTGGCGTGACGGGGGCTTTGGTAACTAATAAGACGAGCGATGAAATGATGATGATGATGATGATGATGATGATGATGATGATGATGATGATGATGATGATGATGATGATGATGATGATGATGATGATGATGCTGATGGTGATGGTGATGGTGATGGTGATGGTGATGATGATGATGATGGTGGTGGTGGTGGTGGTGGTGATGATGGTGGTGGTGGTGATGGTGGTGGTGGTGGTGAGGGTGGTGGTGGTGATGATGGTGGTATGATGATGATGGTGGTGGTGATGATGATGGTGGTGATGATGATGATGGTGGTGGTGATGGTGGTGGTGGTGATGATGGTGGTGGTGGTGATGGTGGTGGTGATGATGATGGTGGTGGTGATGATGATGATGGTGGTGGTGATGATGGTGGTGGTGGTCATGATGATGATGATGTCTCAAGGATTCTTGTAGCATTTAGGTAGTGAAATAGAAATTGGGAATTCTAGAGGCCTGGTAAGCATGGGCAGGTGTCAAAATGGGAGGACCCCCCAAAATCATGGATTTCCCTTTGGCTTCCTTTCAAGCCAACCTGAAAAGGGTACCCTCCAAATACAAAACGGGCGCGCAGGCACATATGGCTGTGGTTGTCAAAATCAATGGGATCCCATTTTGGGGTAGGTGAATTCCCATTTGAGAACCTATTTTAGTGCGCGTTGGGATGTTCACTGGGGGTACGATTTGGATTTTGACCCATGGCCATATACACACATATATATATATATACAATATGTACACATATTTTTTGTATTTCCCACGCGCGCGCACGGGACCTGCACGGCTATGGCACTGAGGGTGCTGTACTTCATCTCCGTGCTATTGCTGCTTTCCATCGCGCTGATGAACCTCGCAGCGCGGCCGGCAAGCTCGAAGTTTCTAAGTTTCTCCGTTGCCCCACGGCTCCCCTGGTGATGTTTTTCGGGTAAACTACACACAACATTGGGGGTACATGGCCCCCAAAATTGGGGGTACATTACCCACTTCTCGTTGCTTGCCTCCTACCTTCCCTCCTCCTTTCTCCGTTGCTACTCCTCCATCTTGCCTTTCCTTTCACAAAATTGCGGGTAAATTACCCACACCATTGGGGGCAAATTACCCTGTCAAGACCAGCCAAAAGCTAAGGTCCGCCAACTTCAAGGGAGTCCGGTTCAATGTCTGAAGGATGCGTGACACTTTTTTGGTGGGATTGTTCTGAACCAGTGAATTGGGCAAAACCCACTGGGAGAACCTGCCTCCTGAAACCGAAATCCATTTCTTTTGAAGGATGCAAAATCCGGCCGTGGCAACCAACTGGCTTCCGAAAAATTGCCACCAGGCGGCGAGTTATTGTTTCGCCAACTAGTGTTTACACTTTGGGGTTCTTGCGGTTTCGAGTTAAGGCCGGTTTAGATCGAAGTTCGCGCTAGGTTCGCGTGGCCCTTTGCGCAAAAAGTTGTTTTCGGTGCGACAGTCTCGCACGAAAGGGAGGTTCGCGCTAGGCACGTGAGCGTGTCCAGAGGCGCGGCTGCGAAATCGCAAATTGCAAGGACACAAGTAGCACGCGAAGTCGAACCGCAGCTCCGGCTGAAAATTTGCAAGTTTTAAGTACAAAAGTACGCGCAGAGCATTTCCAGAGGCGCGCCTGCAAAAACGCAAGCTGAAACTGTAGGTGCAAAAGTAGTGTGAGAAGCGCGCTCCTGCAGCTCCGGCTGACAAATCGCAAGTTTTAAGTACCAAAGTAGCACGCGAAGAGCATTTCCAGAGGCGCGGCTGCGAAATCGCAAATTGTAAGTACAAACTCCGGCTGACAAATTGCAAGTTTTCAGTGCCAAAGTAGTTCGCGAAGAGCATTTTCAGAGGCGCGGCTGCGAAATCGCAAATTGTAAGTACAACAGTAGCACGCGAAGTGCACTCCCGCAGCTCCGGCTGAAAATTTGCAAGTTTTAAGTACAAAAGTACGCGAAGAGCATGTCCAGAGGCGCGGCTAGAAGTGGCACGCGAAGTGCGCTCCCGCAGCGCTTCGGCTGAAAATTTGCAAGTTTCAAGTACCAAAGTACGTGCAGAGCGCTCCGGCTGCAAAATCGTAACTCTTAAGTGCAAAAGTGGTGCGCGAAGTGCGTTCGCATGGCTCCGGCAAAAGTGGTGCGTTCCTACCGCAGCTCCAGCTCCGGCTGCAAAGTCGTAAGTGTTTTCGCGCAAAGGAGGCGCGTGCGAAGCGCGCTCTCGCAGCTCCAGCTCGAACATCGCAATTTCAAGATTTAAGCGCGAACGGTGATGTTCGGAAAGTGTCCTTTCACATTTCCAGCTCGAAAATCACAACTTGCAGGCGCAAAGTAGTGTGCCAAGTGCACTTGTGCAACTCTTGCGCAGCCAAAACTGCACGCAGATATGGACAAGAGAGGTTGGCAAGAGAAAGGGACATGAAAAGTTCGGTGAGAGAGGTTGCGCAGCATCATGCGCGAGAGGGACCGTCACGCATAGCATCATGCGCAGCATCATGCACGGCGTCGTGCGCAACGTCACGCGCAGCATCGTGTGCAACATCATGCCTGCGCAGCCTCATGCGCAACATGACGCGTAGCTTCACGCGCAGCAGCGTCAAAACACCGCGTAGCGCGCGAGAGGAGTTGACAGCAGAGTTTTTTCGAAGCGCGGCACCAAGCTTGCTCATCAGAACCTGCAGAAGTTACGAAGGGACATTGACGTGTTTACGCTTGTTTCTCACCTGCAGCGGGAGAGCTGTCAGAGTTCGTTTAACGTCTTTCTATGCTTCCGGGCCACCCGTCGTCGAATTAAACCCAATACTACTTGGGGTCTCTTGCCGGGATAATTAAGGGTCATGGAGACTCCAGGTAGACGCGGAAAACCCGAAACGGTCGCGGGGGGTTTCCCGCCTCCAAGTTTTTGTGTTCGACTGGGGCTTCTGGAGGCAAGCCGTGACGGGCGTTTGTCGAGTGCTGTAAAGAAAAATCCGGCTGATCCCGGCCCTTTTGCGAGACTTCAACCAGTTTACCACTAACATGGAGCCTGACTGAGGAAGGCCATTCTTCACTTTGGGGACCCTTTTGAGTTCCATTTGGAGGGTCCCATTCAAAGGGCGTGGGTACCCCAAGTTTCGGGGGGGTTTCGGGAAATAACAAGGACGGCAGTGTGGAGAGTTCGGCGAACCGCGAACTGCGAGGTGACAGCCGTCATGGTGAACAGTTCGCTGGACCAAGCCACGCAGGACGCTGGCGACCTTAGGAGTTGAGAGGTAAGGTTACATGGAGCTGGAGCCATAGGCGTCCTTGGTTCCACTGGTTCCGTTCATTTGAAAAAATGGGTTCCACTGGATTGGATTGGTTTTGTGCCATCCATGTACTGCTGAATCGTTGAACCAGCTGTGTTCTCCAAAAACCCTGCTTGCCTGGGAAAGTTGCATGGCGACCGTAGACAGGATTGCGGCTGTGCAAAGACTGAATGTTGATCAAGTCCAGTATACCTGAAGTCTCCACGTCTCTTAAAAAATGGAGTCACTACCCAAAATTAAGGGGTCATAGACCCATTTTGTAAGGGTCATGGAGACTCCAGGTAGCCAAAAGGGGGCCATGGAAAGGAACTAGTTGCACTGGTCCTGGAATAGGCACTCATAGTCACTGTTAGATGGCCACTGCTCTCCTTTCTTGCTGGTGCGATAAGTAGGGAATGAGAAACCATCCAACTGGTGGTATCCTTTTTTCGGGGACCAGAGCTTGGTTCATTCCATGTCTCATTCGCTACTTGTCGCACCAGCAAGCTTTGTGGCTCTCCGTTTCAAGATGAAGATCGTCCTTAGGACAAAGAGGCCCTGAAAGCTTGGGAGTCGGCACGCCGCGCCAAGCAGCGACTCGGCAGGATCAAGGCCGGTGATTCCATCTCTTTAAGAACCAACACTTGCGATCGGTGCTATACGGAGGGAACGAGTTCGAATGACCCCTGCATCAAAGTGGTGGTTTCCTTTAAGCGGACCAAAGCCTGGCTTCATTCCCTCATTCCCTACTGAGCACCAGCAAGAAAATAGGTCCCACCCAAAAACTAAGAGGAGGATTGGTTGTGTTTGGTGGCAACTGGGATCCGGGGCTGGTGCTTATATTGATCATTTCCCATCCCGAAAAGCTCGCTGGTCCTTTGGACATCGAGGGGCGTTGGGAAGGACTCGCTTGCAGCAAGCCCCTGGTTCAGCTTGGGGGTCATTCCCTCAGATTCCTCAGTTTCTGAGACCAAATAAATTGGTTGGGGTGGGTTTCAGCATCAAAGGGTCCACTTCCAGTCCAAGGAAAGTTCTGGGACCCACATTCCCCCGCGTCTCGAACGGTTTCCACACCTTTTGCTTGCCCTCCGATATGGGGTCGAGCTTCTATAAAGAACCTCGGGCTCGTACTCCCCGGATTGCTTTTTGGTCTGAAAAGTGGGTTTGGCACCGTAGGGCAGTAACTAGGCATCGAAAAGGGTCCAGCACAGGGTCTGCCAGAGGGTGTAAACAGCCGGGTGAATTTCAAGGAGTCAACACCTTTTGCTTGCCTAAAGTGACTTTTCTTGGGACCTGATTTTTTGGCATCGATCCTGAGCCCCTTGTGTCCAAGTTTCCTTCGAGTCGAGGGGCGTTCACCTGGGCGGCTAACCCAGCTGCACTGAACGTGAATCGAACCTTCCATTTGCTTAAGACGATTTAAGCATTTGTCGCTGGTGGTGTTTATGGGAATCTATCACTACGGTAAATATGACTGTTCAAAATTAAGGCACCAAGGGACCGCAGGTTTTCGTCCATGTTTCCAATTTCCAGGGTTCCATTTTGGGCACCTATTTTTGACCCACACAATATGTTATTCTTCCCAGGGGGCGAAAAAAACAAATGGAAGGAACTCCTACTGCGCTCGGACCGAGGATTGATCACCTGAAGGACATGTTCTTGACTCTGGACGAGGCGATTCGTCCCGAGGGCATGTTGCCGCGTGTTTTTGGGTTCTTCCCGCATTTGGACTCGACTCCATAGCTTGGTGGTTCAACCATCCATCCGATTCCCGAGGTTTGTTTAGCAATTTCAGGTTGAACGGTTGTGTCAAGACTAAACTGAACGAAAATAAATGACTTTTCGCAGGGGATCGAGCTTATAGATTCTTATTGTACATCCATCTTCGGGTGAATCATGGCGAAGGTTGACAAACAATCCCTGGCCAAAATGTAGTGACATGCACCGACCGGCGGCAACCACTTCAAGGGCCTCGCTTGAAGTTCCGTCAATTGGGGATTCCCAAACTTGGGTTGGTGACTTACTATAAACCACTTAATTGAGGAATTGCCGAATGACTTTCGTGCTCGGCTACCAAGAAGAGAGGGCAGTTCCTTCCAACTTGGATGCTGAACCCACGTAGGTTGCCATGGTTAGAAGTGGGACAAAGGCAATGATACGGGGGGGGACCACAGGCCAACCTAGGCCAAATGCCACTTAATATCCTCAGTTCCCCAGAATGGGTCAAATCCCACTTGCGGGGACTGAACTGGGGATATGAGTCACTCCGTTTGATATCTCCAGCAAGGTCCCGTTGGATCTTCGCATGGGTATGGGTCAAAATGAAACCAGCAAACCGCATGTTTCGTCCTTGGTTCCATGTTGCCAGGGCACGCCATTTTGGGGTTCCCGTTTTGTATACCCACAGGCGCATCCGCATCCCTCCTGGGGTAGACTTGGGATACATTTTATACATGTTACCTGTGACTCCATGTGAAGCAAACTATATATACATACTATGACTGAGCCTAACTCAAATCATGACTTCTGTGATACAAGTTGGAATCTTCCCTTTTATATGGTGGATTAGTCTTTGGGAAGCCCATTTTGTTGTATTCGCATCCCTCAGGATGGCTCTGGGGAGCTGACGATGGATGAGATCAACGCGGCGCCGCAGGAGACACAGCTTCACCTCAAGGCGAGGGATCTTCGACTCGAGCCGCCTCGCCGAGGTTTTTTTTGGGCATCTCGAGCGAGGCATTGGGGCTCATGGGTGTCTTTTTGCAACCTTTTGAAACTGGGCGACCCCCTCAAAAAGGAATCCTTCACTAAGAGGGGGTTTCTACAAAAGGTGGCAACAACAATAAAAAAAAAAAAAAAAAAAAAAAAAAAAAAAAAACTGTTGGCCGAGTCGGAAGCTGCTAGCCCGTGCCACAGGCTATGGCGAATGGAAACAAAAGGCATCCAGAAACTTGCTGCGATTTGCTCAAATCAGTTGGCGAGGGCCACAAAGGCCCAATGGCATATTCAAGGGGTCCCGTTTGCCTGGGTTGGAAGTTTGAGTTTCGGCTGTCCGATTTCGCAGATCGGAAGCAGAGGCAAATAAGTTTCCCAGAGCGCGCTGAGGTCTTTGCCCTGGGCTCCAGAGTTCTCCTTAGCAGGGACCCTCCATTCCGTTTGCTGAAATGAAGGTTTGTTACTTTCCCCTGTTGGTTTTCAAGGGAATCTTTCACTACTGGACAGTTTTTTTTAGTTGTTTCTTCTCCTGGGACTTGAGAAAATGCTTTTTTTGGTAGATGGTGTGAGCGAACCAGAATGCCTCAGGTGTTTTAAGCGTTTGGAGAAGGTCCAGCTGAAAAGACCTCGGCCGTGGCTTCTTCCCGTGACCCTTCAGAGGCTGATAGAAGCAGTGGCGTGGTTGTGTTTCTTGTATGCCATCAGGACCCCAAGACCTGTATGCCGGCCAAAAGTCCCCAAAAGACGTCCAAGGTCTTGGGGCAGGGTAAGATTAGGGAGTTTCCAACATGTCCAAGGTCTTGGGCCAGGGTAAGACTAGGGAGCCGAAAAAACATGTTGCTGTCTTCCAAGCAGCCTTCCTCTTAAAACCCAACGCCACCATGCTTGGTTGGTTTTCATCAAACCCTGAAATTCTTGGCCTTTCCTTAAAGCCAACCAAACAGGGGCTTCCCGTTAACAAGAAAACGCCGCCGGGTTTGTGATAATTTTTCCTTGAGCTTGCAAGGTGCCGGGTTTCAGCCCGTGCCCGGAGCCTTGTTCTAGGATTCCGACCCGGGAAGCACACATACCATGTGGGGGCTACCACGTCATCAGGATTGAGGCTCCACATGTTTGGTTTTTTGCTTCGCCCTCTTGTGCTTTTGGTTCGGGTGAATTTCTCATTCCGTCGAAAATGACACCCACGTTGAGGTTCGCAATTTCCCCAAAACCCACCTGCCCCCTTTGTTTTTTTGGCTTGCGCTTCCTTCGGTACCCAATCCCCATACGAGCTCAAGCCAAGCCAAGCCCCAACACATGGTTGTCTTTGGGAAACATTAGTTTTTGCTTATTGTGGTTGAGTGGTTGAACTCCAAATGTGTTTTTTGCTTATTGTGGTTGAGTGGTTGAACTCCAAATGCACTTAACTGCCAACAAATTTTCAATTTGTTGCTCCCCAAACCCAACGTCAACCTGGACAGGAGATCGTGGCCACGGATGATCTCAGGTGCGGGCGCTTTTCGCCGGAGATCGTCGAGTTCCATCGGGGTGGTTGAAGGATTCTTGACCTGGAGACCTTGGCAGGGAAGGAGAAATGGAATGGCCCCCATGTAAACCATCCCTAAGGGAATGTGTTTTACATTCCCAGCTCGTTTTTGTTTTTGACCAACCCGGAACACCAACCCCAAAAGAAGAAAGCAAAATCGACCCCCCCCTCCAACAGCCCCGGGGTCCCAAGATACTTGCTGGCGCGAGAGACGGGAATGAGAAATGGAATGGCTCCGATGAAACCGTCCCCTGTAAGGAGACCAAATCCTGAGTTCATTCCAGTTTGCATTCCCTTCTGTTTAACCCGAAACACCAACCCCGAAAGAAGAAAGCCACAAATCGACCCCAAAAGCGTCCACCATACCCCCTCCCGAAGCCCCGGGACCCCAAAAACTTTCTGGTGCGAAGAATCTTTGCCTTGCTGCGAGAGATTGGAATAAGAAATTGGTTGCTTCGGAAAATATGCAGCTGGTGGTTTCCTAGGAGATCAAAGCCTGGGTGCATTCCATTTCACATTCTCGTCGGAGCACCAGGAAGTTACTTCCATTTGTTGAACAAGGTATGTGGGTGGTTTGAGAAAATATAAAAGTTGGTTGGTTTTAATAGGAAACCAACAGGAAACCCACAACATTTGGGGGGAACGCGTGGATGTGTCTGACTTTGTTTGAGAAAAAGCACACCCTGTTAGATTGGAATTGGCCACTCGATTTTGAACAGCCTAATTCACTTACGTGGAGTCCAAAAGGAGGTTCCAAGTGGCTCAACATTCTTTTAAGCAAGGGGTTTGCTCTTCCAACAACACATCCGGTTTGCTTTCATGGGGGAACCCTGATGGGTTGTCCTTTGTATCATTCACTTGTACTGCAAATACCGGTCATGGTGCGTTTGGAATTGTCATTAGTGAGCTCACCTGCGGTTGTAACCGACCGATGCAGGTGTCTTACTGTGGGATTCCTTGAGAATAACCTCCCACCAACTAACATGGAAGTGCAAACAGGCCCTTTCCAAGAGGAGTCTGTCGTCTTTCTACAGCTGGGAGGGTAGTCATTTGCCTAGACTGAAGTGGCTCTGGACATGGTTTCTTCTTTTGCTCCCTCCCAGCAAAAGGTAACCATGGCGCGGACCTACAAAGTCGGAGATGTTTTTTTGTTTTTGTTTTTTTTGTTCGATCAAGCCTGAAGATGTGTTGACATTCCGCCAGCCATTAGTATTGTATAGGTTTATGGATCAGGCTAAAAGCTTATGATTCTTGCTGTTTGCGAGCCCGTGCGGGATCTCCTGCGAGTTTCCAACTCTGTTTTGTGTGGCAGGCGGTGTCCCGATGGTCAGTTGTCACCCTCTGTGGATCTTAAAATAGTTTAAAGGCTTCGGAGTCTGGCAATTCGACTGCGCAAATGGGAGAAGGCCCAAGAGGAGATGTCATTGTCGTTTTCTGAATATTACCAGCTGCTGTTTTTGTCGGGAACCCAGATTGGAACTTTGTGTTATGGAATCTCTAGGGGGTGGGTAGTTGAGAGGTTCCTCCGGGTTCCTTTGGCTAGGCAACTTCTATGGGAAACTCTTGGATTTGCTGCGCGCTCCAGACGCCTATTTGTGATGCCCAAAGTGGCCTCCAACTCGGCCAAAAGCGAATCGACTTTAGTTGATGGCCTTTTAAGAGCTTGACACGTTTCTTTTCTGGGTCCTTTTCACGGCCGAGATAAGAAGGAAGAAAAACAAAGAAGCCACAGCCAACGAAGAAGCCCTCCACTTCTCTTCGGATCCCCGAAGCCTTCAGGAAGTTCACGAGAGATGGGGGCTGATCAATATTCGGTTCGACCCCGAAGTGACCAAGGGTAACTTGTCCCAAAAAAGTGGGACATATCATCTGTTTATTTTGATCTTATTGTTTTTACAACGGTCGCCCCATGTAAGGGCCTTTGAGCAACCTCCATGTAACAACCATGTTATTATCATGAGTTTCAAGCGGCTTGCCCAACGATTTTTGCCGGCGCGCTTGCCTGTTTTGATTGTTTCACCCTCCAGTCGCCCAGGGATAGTTGCAACCACACTGTGCAAGGGCACACCAGCAATTTGGATGTGCTTAGAAGCTGCCGCTTGCATTTTTATTTGCTTATCTTTGTGGCTTGTGAATATTTTTGCTGTTTTTATGGTTGCTCTTTTGTTTTTCAGGGGAACGCCATTTGCGTTTCGGTGAATTTTGCATGTTTCAACTTGCTTTTCGGCCCCCTCGTGGGTTTTGGTTTTGGGCCCTCCCCCTTCGTCCCGCCTTTTTTTTTTTCAGGGAGCTCTTTGATATGCTCGACTACGACGGCGGCGGCACCATCGGCACCTCGTTTAGCCATGGGGTTCCGTCGGGGTTTAGGGCTAAGGATCGATACATTTTGCAACCAGTTGACACATGGCGGTGGCTCAAAAGAACGGTACCAAAATGGGTTGCCCTGTTAAGAAACCCCTCCCGTTCAATTTTGAGCCACACCCACACCAAAAGGAAGTTGGACACCACCATTTACAAGTTGCAATGTTTAGGTGTATAATGTAAGGATGTTTGTTTAGGTTTCGAAAGAACCTGGAAGACAATTTTCTTTTTTTGAAGGGACCGTAGACTTTTAGGGGATCTCAGATAAGGGTGTGCCTTTTTTAAGGACCCCCTAAAATGGCATAGGTGTCCCTTGTGGTTTGAATTCAACACCATCAAGAAAGGGGTACCCGCAAGAAAGACACCCAAGCCCCGTCCATTTGCATTTCGGAATAAATATGTTTAATTTCCACCTGGCTTTAAAGCGAATCTATCAAATAGCTTTCCCAGACGAATCCGCAATTGGTTTTAAACGGGTTGTCCTCGGGGAGGAATCCAGAAATTACGTTTGCTAATATTGATGCAGGGTTCGGCCAAGTGAGTAAGTTACTTATATTCCTCTAATAATAAGGTTTACCCCACTTTGGGGGACTTGTTAGTTGTAACTTAGGTTACCAACAACTTAAGCCGGTTAAGTACGTTCTTTACATTGGTTTGAGTAGACCTTGTAAATTTTGCATACCAGGTTTTGATATTGACTTAAGTTGGGCGTGTCTCCTCTTTCTGTGCTACACCTGCATACCTTGTTGCTTACCCAAACCCAGCCTGGGCCAGCGACCCCTGCTGTCGCCTTGCTTGCGTTGAATAGTTGCAAATGTCAAGCTGGAGCGGCGAAGGTGCGCTTTGTGCTCTGCGCTTGTACTGAATGGTTGGAACTCTCGAGCTGGAGCTGCGGAAACGCTACATTGTGCCCCTAGTACCTGTCACTGACATAGGGCCCTGGGTCAAAACCATTGGTACCATTTTGGGGTAGGTGCACCACCCATTTTAGTCTATCGCAGTGGGGATTGGGATGTTCACTGGGGGTACGATTTGGATTTTGACCCATGGCCATATTGGGCAACAAGGACCCTCCGTAACAAGATTCGCGCCGCGTTGTGCTGGAGATTTATGTTCACAATGTCTCAGGGTTTCCGTATCATTCAGAGCGAAATGGGTTCCGCATCTGGGCATCTCAAAAAAGAAAGCCCTCAAAAGAGACACATCCACTGGTTCGGTACAAATGTGACATAGCTGCCTAGCTAAGGCTAAAGTCCGGGTTACTTCAATTGTTTGTTGAGGCGCAAAGCACAACCACTGTTTGGGCTTTCCCACTTTTCTTGGGCTCCCTTATCCCATCACCGTATTGTGGGGTCCTTTGCTTTGGCTCAACCCGCTCCTTTCGTTGGGTGCTCGGCTCGTTGGGCGAGGTAGGATTTTCTCAAATCGGGAGCCCCAAAACCCTGGGGGGTAAATAAACGGCCTTTTTACAAACAAAGGCCATTACATGAACCCTAAACCTAAACATCCTTTGTTTCTCTAGCCAGGGGTCGGGGGCCTGCGTGGAATTCAAGCTTTCCATCTTCATCAACAAGCCTTTTCCACCCGCCGGACCCGAAAGGCCCCAAGGCGAGAGCAGCACTGCCTAGGTTCCCAAGCTAGATGCCCTTTCTCTTCCCTTTTTTGGTTGGGAGGGTTCCTGTACTGGAATAGACTGCAGGAAAAAGGGAACCCTTATTCTAACCCTCTCTACTGGAGGACCCAGCTGCATCATCACCGGAATAATCCTGGTCTTCCCGAAACATCCATTCAGCAGGACCTTTTAAATCCCATGTAGCAGCAACCAAGCCAGCCAGAACAGACTTGAGTGCTTTTTTCGCCTGCCGATCGGCGTTTCACGGTCTTTCACAGCAAAGGCGTCCATGCCCATGTCAGGGTATGTTGCTTCGCTCTTCTCTTTTCCCCATTTGGTTAAGAATATGTGTTGTTGTTTGGCCCCTGTTGGCTTTAAAGGGCATCGATTTCACTACTGGAAATATGGTGTTTATTTTTTTCCCAGGGGACGAACAAGAGAATGGTTGCGCACAAGCTGCTTCCCCCAAGCCCCAGGGAAAAGCGAAGCATGCTGTCCTTTTTCGTAGGCTGTGTGTCTTCAAACATGGGACCCCTCATGTTGGAATTCCAAATGGCTTATCCGGGCAGCCTGCTGATCAGATAGGCTTAAACAAATCCTTAAAATGCAAATCACATGAATAATTTCACTGCATGACCCAAATATGGAAACACGTGAAGCTGCAACAGTACCACATCTTTAGAACCAGGCTGCAATGTCCAAACGACCACCGCCGACCAATTTCCGACCACCTTCCGACCACTCTCCGACCCCTCCGGACCACCTCCCGACCACGCAAGGCCACAGCGACGGGGAACAGGCCCAAAATATGCCAATGTCGCCGTTCGGGGCTACATTTAAGGAAAAAAGGGGTTGACCTTCCTAATAAGTTTTTTTGGAAATCCAACAGACCCCTCCCACAAAAAGAAAAGCAGGGGAGGAAGAAATGGACGGCTGGTGGACTCCCCCCTCCCCCCAAAAAACAGAGAAGAAGAAGCAAAGGCAAAAGACCAACAATAGCAAATTGCAACCACCCCCACAAAAACTGCAAAAAGAAACACCAAAAGAAAGAAGCGACACACAAAGCATGCCACAACCCCCACACACCAAAAAGGCCCCCACCAAACAAAAAGCACGGAGCAAACAACAATAAAGAAACACCCCCGCCCGCAATGATAATGAACAAATAGACATAGCATACACAAACAAAACCAACACCAACAAACAGCAAACTCCCGCCACAGAACCGCAAAAACAAGAAAAACAAAAAGCAACCTAACCTCAGTTGTTCAGAGGCACCCTTTCACCTTTTCTTTTTTTTTTCTGGTGGCTGCCCCACTAAAAATGGTCTTCCCAAAAAAGGTGTCCCTTTTTTCCAGGGTCACTGAACCACTGAGTACCCGCCACAAGACCGCCTCACTTCCTGAGTTGGTGGACTTTAAACTTGTTGGGTTTGGACCATTTTAGCGGTAACTACAAAGCTCAAGCACTTTTTTGGGCCCAGTCAGCTTGGGAAGTGAGCGCCGCCACCCCACAAATCGCAGGCGTGGAGGAGTTCTGCGACGGGATCCTCAAGGCCACGACCCGCAGCAGCGGGATCTTGGAGCTGGGGCGTGGCCCGGCGAAGCGGGAGCCGAAGGTGGGGGAGCAAGTTGGGTGTGTGCCTTGGACCCTTCTGTTTTTGTTTCTTCCTCCCCCCCCCCCCCCCCCC